GGCCTTTTTTTACCTTTGGTAGAAGGATTGACTGTGTTCCTTTTCCTCAAGTCTGTCCAGTACACTGTCTGTTCGAATAGAAGTGACGAGAATTGTAGTATTGTACAATGAATGGCTGACGTTTTGATGAGCTCACGCCACCTTCTTTCTCCGACACGTGAACAAAATCGTATCACCCATCTTCTCTAATCATATTATGATGGCGTAATGTTTTGTATTGTCATCCCTATCGTCCAGCAGTACTGTACTGTACCATATGCCCTGTACAGTACAGTACAGTACTGTACGGTACTGTCATGGTACATACCAGTCTTGTACTAGTGTGCACTGTGACGGTAATAATAGTACTGCATTTACACTCAAAGATTCCTCATGTGCAGTGTACAGTATTACATGAAAGTCAAAAGTCCTCGGTACGGTACAGCCTGTAACGTAACGTACTGGTACCGAATACAGTACCAGTACAGTACAATGGATATCAGACGTACACTACAAATCACTGTACAATACTGGACACAATCAACATGGAACCTCACCCAACACGGTGTTGTGATCGAGAGTCTCTCTACTACGACTGAACCCCTACTAATGCTAATGACTGTCAATGTGGCTGACCTGGGCCACCCCAGATCACCCGATTATCGTGTACAAATGATACTTAACCCACCTTTGTTATCCATCTTATTATTATAGTACTGTATTGTTGGGCAAGAAAGGCTCAGGCCATTGAACTATTCCATCACCGAAAATTCACTAATATCAAATACGTGGCCAACAAGAAGATTAAAAGTGAACAACTTACTTATAGCGACCAAGTGGATCTACTACTATGCGCTAATTGAAGTCGATAGCGATTGTAGTGTACAGCATATTGACTGTCTGTAGAATTACGGTAGTGGTTGTGTTTTTTTTTCCCTTTTTGCGGGACTGATTGTTAACCTACAACACCTTACTGTTATTGGCTTGCAAACGTTTGGTCGATCGAGACGACGAGTAGAATAGTACGTATGTACTATACTACAATTGGTGCCAGTCAAGAGAAAAAGATTAAGAGCAACCTGCAGCATTGTACAATTATTGCCTAAAATTTGCATGCTTGTACAAATACACAACGGATTGATCAAGTAGGAGAGATGCAGTGGAATGTGATCTACGCGTGTTAGTCTTTTCCTTTGGCATCATCTTGTACAGAGAGTGTAGAAGGATTGCTGCCGTTTCGGATACTTTATGCATCACTCAACTGCATCATAGTACTTAAGACACAGTCTTACTTGGCCACTGCGCATTATAGGAATATTATTATTATTTCATCTTGGCAATAACGTACTAACGAGGTTGGAAATACTTGCAACATTATCAGCCAATACATGTAAGTGCAAGACAAAGACAGTAGACATTGAAAATTGATCTCGCCATTCACGGATATTTGATGTACTACGCTATCGTTTTGATCACCCTCTTTGATTGGAAACGTTTCAAGTTGAAGAAATACAGTTCTTAACTTGATCTAAATCAACAAAACGATACAGACTAAAAACAGCAATCTAATAAACTCTTGATCGTGTCTAGCAAGAGAACAAGGTAGAAATCCTACCCATGCTTTTGTTGTAAACATTTCCAAATTGATAACTCCAAATTGTCAATAACTTCATTTCTTCAAGGTTCACAATTTCTACCATAGAAATTGTATAAACTACATCAACATCGTTCCCTCGTAATATTTCAATTAAGACTGACACTACTATATTCCCAAGGGACGTTGAAATGTTGACCATAGTAGAATAGATCATCAATTCTTACTCCTCTGCATCCATTACTTCGTATAGATTAATTAATTAATTATTATTATCATTGACAATCCTGAAAATTTCCCTCTTATTGCAGTACAGTACTTGAGCTAGCTACCTCTGCCAAACAACGAATGCGGAAATACGGACACGGTGACACGGCAACCCTGACGTTGTGCAATTCATTGCAATGAGTGCAGTGCATGTTGTTGTTGTTTTTTCCTATTCGATTCGCTTCCCTAATTAGCTTAAAACCAAAATATCACACAGTCGGCGAATTGGATAAACAACTTTATCCTTACCAACTATTCCAATGTTCATCTATGCAGTATTGACCGTTGACTATCACCCAGCAACAGTTATTCAAAGAAAGAATCATGGATTGATGAAAGATCAAAACTACCTTACTTTCTAATAAAAAATGACTGGTTTAGCTGCTGTGCCATAGAGGATGAAGATGATCCCACTGAACAGCACTACAGCAATTTATTCGATCAGTCAAGAGATTGATTTAATCCTTGAAGATTGACTTGTAATTTTAACGTCACTCAGTTAGCTAGCGTAGAAGTGCTGCTGCCAATCAATTTTTACACAGCGCACTATTTGAACTGTACATACAGTATATTATATCAGGCATCAAGTCTTTTTTAAAACATACACAAATGTGGGTTAGGTCAAAGTCGTATGAAGAATGAAATTAGCTAGCTTCTACCGTTTAGAGAGTCTCTTTTTCTATGCTGTAGTGTTGAGTTAGTACATACAGTATATTGTAGCAGGCATCAAGTCTTTTTTAAAACATATACAAATGTGGGTTAGGTCAAAGTTGTATGAAGAATGAAATTAGCTAGCTTCTACCGTTTAGAGTCTCTTTTTCCATGCTGTAGTATTTAGTTAGTGCATACAGTATGTTGTAGCAGGCATCAAGTCTTTTTTAAAACATATGCAAAATGTGGGTTAGGTCAAGGTTGTAAGAAGAATGAAATTATCTAGCTTCTACCGTTTGGAAAGTCTCTTTTTCCTTGCTGTAGTATTTAGTTAGTACATACAGTATGTTGTAGCAAGCATCAAGTCTTTACTAGAATATATACAAAATGTGGGTTAGGTCAAAGTTGTATGAAGAATGAAATTAGCTAGCTTCTACCGTTTAGAGAGTTTCTTTCCATGCTACTCTAGACTATATGTTCACCTCGGCTTTATTGAAAAATGGACATCGTATGGAAAACATTGTTTACAGCCTCTTAGCCTCAGGCTTCACTAGAAAGTGGACTGTAATAAGACATCAAAAATAAAAGATAGACCGCTAGAGTCATCGCTCTCGATACTGCTGCGCGATGTATTACTATACTTCTGTATCTACGGCAACAGTCTACTTATTCGTACTGATAACAATAGTTATAATTAATAGAATAATTTATCCCTGATGACTTCTATGAGTCAATCTGTGCGTTCCTTTTAAGAGCAGCCTGTTCTATCCGCTAGCAACAGGGGCCCTTTTACCACTCAACTGTACATGACTATTGATTAGACGTATTATTCACCACTGTCTTTCATAAATTGAGTTAAATTAGTATACCACCCCCCTGTACAGTTTAAAGTTCACATAATGTATTTCTTAATGGTTTTATTTTTTGGAAATTCTTGTCATCAATAACTTTTATTGTAGAGAGCTTAGTTACAGATTGAATTGATCGTTGTTTTTGAAACGCAATAAACAACTTTCCGCACAATTATCCACAAATTTACACAATAAATGGAGGCCGAATATCACACTTGGGAGTACAACTAGTACAACACTACAACATCATGCTATCCAATAAGTCATAAATGATCTGCATATATTGTATCCTCATGAAGATAGTAGATTGCTTTGTAATTTCTTTACCGCTATACAGTGTTAATTATGTTATTGAATGTATATTTTTTCCTTACGCGGTATAAAATCTCAACAATGATTATAATTGTATACTGTACGTTGCTGTTCCGATCTTTATACACATCCGCCTCTATTCGATATAGGGCCTATCCGGGATATATTTTTAAAGTACATCACCAAATAATATTCATATTCAAACTTCACGGTGATTATAATTATAATTGACCGAACTCACTGATAACAGACAGGAAATTATTGGCTTGCAAATGTTGACGATGCATTTTTACTCCATTTGTTGATATTTTAGTTAAGAATCAGCGACGTTTAATCAATCAGGTATAGTACACTTGCTCAATAAACTTATTAAAAAAAGAGTTAGCTTAGATCGGCCACATTTTCATCCACGTATCTTCGTTATCGTCAAAGTTATATCGTAACAACAGGATCAACAATGAGAAGAGGCTAGCGGATTGAATAAGGCATTAACTACTTGTTGTAAAGTAACAACCGACCAATTGATTACCCTGTATAAATGCCACATCTACTGTACTTTATCGCTGATAATAAGACAAGCAAATACAATAATCTCTTGTGATAAAAGTTTGCAATGGGACTGCATCTACGAAATGCTTAGATAATTACTATAATTACGGTATCTAAACAGGGAAGATGTTGTTCTTTTCCCACTAGTACTAGATTATAGCAGACTTGCTTATTTTTTGTTTGAAATAATGCATTTACCAATGATGCCTTCCATAATATAATATATAATTCCCAAGCAATAATATTAATTTAATAATTGAAGCATTAACAACACAATTTTATGCTGTACATTTGCACTACGTACATTGTTTATTTATTCGTACACAATGTGCAACGTACTTGTGAAACAGAGAAAAAGATTGATTGTTTTAATGATTATATAATCGCCTACTTGCAATCTTTCAGATCAAAATCAGATCATGTGTATTAGCCAGCCTTGAAGCGGTGTTAATTAATGTAGTGCCAATAGTTTATGTAGCTGTTAACGTAGCATAATGAAAACATTGATTCTAGTTGTGTACACTTTAAGATCATTTACGATAATGTACTCGTAATACCATACTGTTGTGTTCTATTGGCTGCCTGTATCTCGTACTATTTTATAATCTCCTACTTTGCAACCCGTATTTTACTACTATACTGCTCTCATCCTTGGTTGCTACTGCAAAACAATATGGTACTACGTACTTACTAGTATCCGATATGACACTATTACGCAGTTATGAAATATGCAATCAATCTTTATCTATTTACACGTATCTCAATTTTTTTTCCTGATCGCTAGATAAGATTTTGATATGGCGAGCTCAGTGAATGGTTATAATAACAATATTGGCCTCAGCAAAACTCTCTACTCTGATTACTTAATTGATAAATCAATAAAGGCCAAAGTCACTATCGAAAGTTTTTACCAAAATTTAATTCTCCAATTTGGTGAGAGACGAAGGAGACAAGAGACTTTAGAAAAAGCAATGGAAGATATGCAGCTACCAATAGAAGAGGTTGTTTTTTAAGATTGTGCATTTTATATATTTTAATGTGCCTCTTATAGCCAAAAGCATAATTCACTAATGATAATAATAATTATAATGACACTATAGAGAGAAGATAAACGTAGGCAACTAGCTGCGAAAGAAACTGAATTCTTAAGACTTAAACGTGCTCGGTTATCAACGGAAGATTTTGAACCTTTAAAAATTATCGGACGTGGCGCATTTGGTGAGGTAAGCAAGAAATACATGAAGCATATATCACTATCGTATATGCATAAAGTATGATTACCAGTCATTTTGAAGCTTACGAAACAAGCAGAGAAGTTTTACATTATGAGCAACATCGCAACATCTGTTATATTGGATTTGTGCATAATTATACAACGATAACTTATTATCACATAATGATCTGACTTACTTTTCTTGGATACTTAAAACTGTTAACTTTCCATTAGCTTTTGTATTATAACTACGTTGCTTACCTTACTTGTTGTTGATATTTCAGGTACGATTAGTTCAGAAAAAAGATACAGGCCACATCTATGCTATGAAGATTTTACGTAAGGCTGATATGCTTGAAAAAGAGCAAGTAGCTCATGTCCGCGCAGAACGTGATGTCCTTGTGGAAGCGGATCACGCCTGGGTCGTAAAGATGTTTTATTCATTTCAAGATGCAGAAAATTTATATCTCATCATGGAATTTCTTGCTGGTGGTACGATGAATAAAAATTAATCATTACAGTGGATAGTTACCTAAGATTTCGTTAAATACAGCTAGAAGTCGCGGTAACTTTTAGGGTTTATCTAACAGGTGACTTAATGACACTATTAATGAAGAGAGATACATTATCTGAAAATGAAGCCCGTTTTTTAATAGCTGAATCCGTACTGGCTATCAACTCTGTTCATGAGCTTGGCTTTATTCATCGGTAAAGCACTAAATTAGAGGATTATATTTGTATACAGACGAACACAACAAATTAATTTATTTGTAAAATAGCTTTCTACTAATATTTCTATAATTTTTTATATGTAATAAAATATTACTAAGAGTTTATTCATTGCTTTTATCAACTTAGTGATATTAAGCCAGATAACTTACTATTGGATAGTAAGGTATGTGTATTCCCACATTTTGAATGAACCTACTACTAATACTAAATAAGATACTTTAATAGTAGATTGAAATGATATACTTTTGCTATCCCGTACATTTAGGGTCATATTAAACTCTCTGATTTCGGATTGTGCACTGGGTTAAAGAATTCTCATCAAACGGATTTTTACCGCGATATTACTATTGACAAAGCCAATCAGCTATGTTAGTGTAATATAAGAATACTGCGTATAAGGAACCTTAGTAGCTTTATGTGATATTAGACTTTAATTTAATATTGGATATCACTTTGTGATAAATTTAGTGCATATTCCGAGCAATTATCGAGATCGCCAAGCATCCTGGAAGAAAAATAGAAGGGCAATGGTACTTTATAATAATAAACATTTCTCTGGAGTTTAATCCAGCAATAATCCATTAAAATATATTTATGAAATTACAATTGTAATAGACATAGTATGCTTCTTACTGTGTAGGCCTATTCAACCGTTGGAACCCCGGATTATATTGCGCCGGAGGTATTTTTACAAACGGGATATACAAAGAGCTGCGATTGGTGGTCTTTGGGAGTGATTATGTACGAAATGTTAATAGGTAAGCACATAGTTTCTGCTTTATGATATCATGCTTTTAGAAATTGTGTTACATTCTACTTCTGATTGATAGTAGTTCAATATTGATGTATAAATATATCGGATACCTTATGTTAACAAAGGCAGCCGTGATGCCGATCTTGTAAAGTTCATAACATCAGTTTTTATTACTTATTCGTTTTTAGTATTTTAAATTACATTTCGAATAACTCATTACTTTTAGGATATCCTCCATTTTGCTCGGAGACTCCAAAAGGTACATACTTGTATTTCCTATATGTGTGTGCTTGTTCTATTTAGATCAATTTTAGATAAACGCTCTAGAAAGTAAGGTTGTAACTACGAATATGCTAGCATAAATAATTCTTTATTATCTTTATAGAGACGTACCATAAAATTCTTAATTGGCGATCCGCCCTTATATTTCCACCTGAAACGCCTATTTCTGATAAAGCTCGCGATTTAGTGAAAAGGTACGCTGAGCATGTTTATTTTATTTATTCAATAAATCCCATTTCTAAATGTTGGCTTTATACTAATAAAAAGGTTATGTTGTGATGCTGAATTTCGGATTGGTAAACTTGGTGTTGGAGAAATCAAGCAACATAGCTTTTTTACTGGAATTGACTGGGAAAATATTCGAAATCGTCCCTCTGCAATTCGAGTCAATATTAAATCATTTGATGATACCTCAAACTTTGATGACTTCCCTGATCTTAACCCGGAAGGTAACGTGATAAGATTTTAAATATTTTTAGACTGCTAAGTGTGTAACGGCTTAGTTACAAAATAGATTATTTATATGCAATTTACAAAGTTTCTTAGTTCTCATTTCTGTGTTGCCTTCTTTCTTGGCTAATTTAGATCTCAATCGATCTAATATATCGCAAGATAAAGACTGGGTCTTTATCAATTACACATTTAAACGATTCGAAGGTTTAACCCAACGAGGCTTAAAGCCTAAACAAGAAAAGTCAGCGACAAGTTTAAGTTAAATCGTACAGTCTTTATCCTAATGGCCGCTACAAAAAATGTACTTTATCTAGTTAGATGATAGCTCTTTCCTTAGCATTCATGAACTAATCAGATATTGATATGAACAGGAAAGAAATATGTAGTAGCTATTGCGTACAGTAAGACAACAGTTACTGTAAACATGTACTATTTCTGCTTAGTCGTCCTGACAGATGGTATGTGTGCCGTAAGTTGACAGATCGACGTATGAGTACTGGAACTGTAGACAATAAGCAGGAAAGTTTCTCAGCGGTCGCTTAAACCATAGCACATGCCTTACTCTGTTAGTACGTTTCGTTGTAGCTAGTTAAAACTATAGAGATAGCCCTTTTGCTTTCTATGGTTTAAACAATCTACGTCCGTAGAATTAATATCTAGCACGTTTACGGGCATACGGTAGACGTAAATGCGATATCGCTTATCTGGTTTGCGGCTTAGAATTATTTTGTCAGATTATGCAAGAGGACTCCACGCACTTTCTTAGCACTTGATCCGTATTATACGGAAATGTATGTTAATGAAGCCGCGTAGATATTAAATATCTAATTTCATACTTAAATTGAGCTTTATGTCACAACTGCAAAAAGTTAATATATAATAGTTATTCTGAAATAGATTCTTACCGAATATATCATGGATTTTAGTATAAAAAGTCTCAAATATATCATTAATGTCTGTACACGGTATCTTATGACTAATTAGATCTTACTGCAAGATGTCGTTGAAGCGGAAAATTTATGTTACTTCTTCACTTGTTTACATAACTACTATAAGTATTTTTGAGAGACAACTTGTATGTATCACGATCTACGCAATAGATATTTATTACATTGTGCAGTAAATCGACTCGGAATAGAGGCATTTTTAAATTGAAAGTTTTTGATGTGTATCGATGTGTTTCCAGGATTGTGATTACTCGTGATGTTGAAGATGTTAGTTTCTATTTATAGTTATAAAGTGCTGATGAAATACTGTACAGTGTACACGTATCGTAAATAGATTGCTAAAAAGCCAATATTAAGCATGGATGCATCTTAATTAAGGCCATACGTCACCTGGTTTATATTACAGGAATACTAGTTCATTTTGTAAGCCAAATATTCGATCAGTGCGTGGTATACATTACCAGTATGTGATAATTCCTAAAATAATATTACAGTGGGCAATGTGCAATTGTGCATGCATACATGGACAGTAGCCCTAACCATTTTGCATAAATTACTTTTTTATGCAAAATGGTTAGGGCTAATGGATAAAGGACACACATTAACCATTTTAAGCCTTAGTTTTAACACGGTTACAATGCATTGTATTTTAAAGTACTCGTATTACTAACTAACGTAGTTATACACCTACAGCCTTACACAATAACGGATTCTATAACAAAGTTTCATGCCATTGATGGTATGAAAATTTATTTTGTGATACAGTATTTTGTACAGCATAATGACCCATCGACTGATATCGACTTAAGTATGTTGTAGCTTGTAAATAAAGCCCCAATGTTTTGAATTTATCATATCTACCAACGCACTTTAAGATTCATGATTTAATTTTAGAATAAACCATAAATGTGCAAATAGGTACATTAACCTACAGAATCGCTTAGACAATTTGTGCTTTTAAATATAGAAAATTTTTTAATTATAAGATTCAAATATTTTAGGGTCATATAATATCGTCTTAACTTGAGCTACTTAGATTACAATCAAGCCATCAACGATAGCCTGTTTACATGAATTTATCCAACGTTTAACGTATTTTGCAAATGATAACATTATCTAGGATTAATTATTACTAGATGTTTAATTTAAACACAGCCTAGCAATGCTTTCCGCGATTTTATCGCCATTGATTTTAGAAGAGATGATGGAATACCATGTACAGCAATAACTTTATTGTATTCACATAATTCATTCGGTATTGGTCCAAAGGGTCTAAAACCCGGATCATCGCGAGGCTTTAGTTTAATTTCTTTAGCCAACATTCCGACATAAGCATCATCAATCGGTATTTTTCGAACCTTTGGTACTACTGTAACCATAGAACGTACTACATCCATAGAAATGACATAGGAGAAACCGGAACAGTAATCAGGATAGGTTGATATAGGTAGATCTTTTTCACTGACGTAATATCGATTATATTCTTGCCGGTTAACAAGACAACTTGACATAACATGACCTATAAATAATTTTTTACTTTCTTTTGAAGCCAATTTTCGAAATAAGGTTGACGGATTTAACATCACATCATCGTCTCCTTTATAATAGTACTTGGCCGTATTGCAATGTAGGTTCGCCCATTCCATGCCAAAAACAGTTTTGTAGGTTAAATTACGAAAACTATCACCGAAATCAGCTAAAACGATATCACCATATTTTAATGCCTCTGTATCGACAATATTGTTAAGTGTTTTACTATAACTATCACCGATAATGAATATAGTTCGCCATGCATGATTGCCGAACGCATTACGGATAAAATCGGGTTTACCCCAAGTCTCACGTATGGAAGATCTGCGTTCATAATTTTTGGGAGCACTATTGATCATCAATAAGATGATGTTATTACTTTGACAAGGCTTAGCAGATGGTCTGTTACTGAAGAAACGTAATTTGATAGGTGCTACACTGGCATTTGGGGAGATTCGAGTATCAATAGCGACTGGTTCAGTATTAGAGTCGATTATCGTAAAGCTATTAAGAAATTCTCTGCGAAGAAATAGCTGACGGCTAGCAGATTTGAATAACGTGTAGTAAATTATGAAAGCGAAGACAAGGTTAGCAATTAAAGATAAGTAGAGCATTAAAGTTCTCCTCTCCATCTATAATCCATTTATTTGACAAGGTATAAACCTGCAAGAGATGAGAAATTCAGCATCTCGATTGGCACGCTAATGTTTACTGTAATTTCATTCACTAACACCATCGTACGCATACCATCAATAAATTATATCATAATATATCTTGAATTTACACTTGCCATTTTAATTATAGATTCAAAAATACCTGTTATCCATACGTTATATTGAAGAGCTGGAGTATGCGTAAGCAAGACAATGATCCACCATGATATGATTTAAAAATACCATTGCTAACAAAATCAGTATTGATCATTCAGAAGAGAGTTGAAGAGTAATTCTACCTCCTAATACAAGCTTAGCATATTACAATAGTGTACAGTAGCTAGGTGGATTGTTTACTGTTGTCCAAATTTACAGGCTAAATAGCGCTGCACTGTAATAAGTTGTTATCGATTCATTTGTAGGAATGCAAAGATTTTAAACTCTATTCTATCAACCTCTTACAGTAATAGGAATTATACTCATATGATAGTTCAATGAGTTGAAAAAACGTCCATTAGCCCAATAACTGACGGTGAGTCTACTGTATACTGTATGCATTGTGCAGTAAGGTATTTTGCAATACATCCTATCCGAATTGTAATGGTGCTACAATTTTAATCAACACTTCCTTACCCGGAGATCAGTATTTCAAATTGCCATCACTTGCAATCAACCTCAAGTACAGCATTTGCAGCCAGCATTCATTAATGAAATGGTAATTTTGGTGGGTAGTGAATTAGGCTGGGAAAAGGAATTGGCATCCAAGTGGGGAAATGGAGGACAATCTGGGAGACTACAGTACTGTACTCAGTGTACTGTACCTTCAGGCAAATGTACTGTACTGTATTGTACTGTACAGTGTACAGTATATTCACACAAAGGATTTCTCTTCTCACTGTTCTCAGTACAGTCACCAGACCAGACCATGAGGATCTCTACTGTATCAGTACTGCAGAGTAAGGTAGCCAGAGTACTATAGAGTATAGAGGTAGTGATCGTGATTGAGCTACATTGTATCAGGAGTGAAATCAGCAATCGCTCTTTGAACTCATTTGCTAAAGGACCATTTCTAGATAGTTAGTGGATGCAGAAAGACGTTAGCAGTGTACTTTTGATAATTAATTAAATAGTATTAGCACTTTGATTGCTCAGTGTAGGAAGCAAAACTCCAAGATCTTATCAGCTTTCCCAGATGATATCAAGGATGAGGTACGTACGCGTATTTGTGCTTTCTCAAGTGATGATGCTGTGAAGAATACGAGCCCTTATAAACGTATTAACACTCTGTATGTATGAACAAACAAGTACTTTACTCGACAGAAGAAATGGATTACCTTACTTTCCAATTCATCATCTAGGTTTTAAGTTTTGTTTCCTTACCTTGACAGGCTTCATGCGATCACTCGATAGTTTGCATGATAGATATGCACTTTAATCTTATGTATTTTCTTTGTCAAGTCATGACAGAATGAATTCACTCACTGTTTCCTGTAGTCTATACGTTTGCTGTACTATTCTACTCTGCTACGGACACCAAATTGTGGATGGCAAACTAGAGCTATCATTAGCTCGAGCAAACGTGATAGGAGTTAGCAAGCATACTTCCTATTTGCTGCGGGCGATTAAAATTAAATTGATACACTTTAACTTAAATTACGTTATTAGAGTATGCACTAGTTTATTGACATACGGTATAGCACACTGTACTGTACTGTATAGTATAATATAATGTATATCTGAGATCATATGACTAGAAGCTTGTATAAAATGAACTAGAAAAACCTACCTTCTCTTTCTATGTGATACAGCATACTCAACCAAACAGTTTGCACGTAATAATATTATTTATTACATACTATTGGATACATTTACATGAAGCCTGCTACACAATTCGTTATCAAGCCAGTAAGAGATTTTACTACCCAATTAAGATGGAATTTCGTTTTGTAGACGTACAAGATAGAATAGAATAGTAGACAATTCGTGGATAGAGAGTTGGCTGAGATCCATCAGGATATTGCAAGCCATTTCATGTACACTACTTCATTTAGAGAATACTCCAATAATCCCTGATGTACTTTACTTATTTTTCTCGCGCTATAATTTTTTTAAGTAAAGTACTGTTCTGTTAATTTATCAGCTAAAATCTTAAAAGTATTTTCTATCTCAGGCTGCATCAATGACCGAATTTTCATAATATAGTCGCATTTTTATACTTGCAATCTCGAGATCCAGTAAATCCATTAATTATAGTTCCGGTATAGAAATATCATTTATTACACGTTCTAATACTGTACAATTATGATTAAAGGAATTAGCTAGCAAAAAATTAAAAAGTGTATGTCAACCGTAGCAGTAGTAGAGCTGTCTTTTAGCGATGTCTATAAAGTTAGTGGCTTAGTTCTAGACATTCGATGGGTTGGAAATGAACTTTTATCATAGTTATGCTTATAGTAGCCTGCTTGTATGCGTTCGATGTGATATTGTGCAGTAGCAACCGACAATCTACTGTAAGTCTAGTACTTTAAGGCACTATAGGTTATTAATTTGAGGATAACGTGATCTTTTATTAGAATTACACTCGAGTTGTCAACGCATTGATATCATGGATGATTCGAAAAGTTAATTTACCAGATAAGCTTATCCTATTTAATCAATTATTCCTGTTTTCTATTTTTCTTCTCTAGCTTTCTGAAATCTAAATGGCTTACCAAATAATAATTTGATGAAGGACTTTTCACTATCTGCTAATCCAGAATAGCGGATATTACGGCGATATTTTAATACTGTGCAACAGTGCGTATTAGTACTACTTAAACGGACCTTGCAGTGAGCTACCTACTCGCTGCGGCTGCAAGTTTCTATACAAATAATTTTACACGACCAGTTAGAATTAAATAGCGAATTAAATGGATAGAAGAACTGCAACTCTCTATTTTTCTTTACTAGCCAATTTGATCTTTGCATTTGTCGTTTACTTCACCCTATTTCAGACCGTAAGTCGTCAAATCATAATCGACAGAGAAACGGTTGGTATCTATTCGACTTTGGATTCAGATGATAAGATAGATAGTACTACTTTGACGCAGGATGATGGATACGATAACATAACTGATATAAAATTACGCTTTATGAGTGGCAGACCTTCCACTAAACCTTGCAAAGGCAATATATTCATGTTATTGATGATAAATAGCGCTCCTAGAAATTACGAACGTAGATCTTCTATTCGAGAGACATGGGGTAAAGCTGATATTATACGAAGTGCCCTTGGAAATTATGTTTGGCGAACTATATTCGTCATTGGTGATGGCCATAGTAAACAAATAAATAATCAAGTGAATCAAGAAGCATTAAAATATGGCGATATGATTTTAGCTGATTTTGGCGATGATTTTCGTAATTTAACTTATAAGACCGTGTTGGGTATGGAATGGGCGAATGCTTATTGTAATGAAGCTAAATACTTTTATAAAGGAGACGACGATGTAATGCTAAATCCATTTACTCTATTTCCTAAATTGGTATTTATGGGAGGTAAAAAATTATTCATGGGTAATATCATGTCTGGTTCTGTTGTCATCCGGCAACAAAATAGTCGATACTATGTCAGTCTAAAAGATCTAGCTTTATCGGTTTATCCTGATTATTGTTCGGGTTTTGCGTATGTTATTTCGATGGATGTATTACAAGCTATGGTAGCAGTCGTACCAAAAATTCGAAAGATACCTATTGATGATGCATATGTTGGCATGTTAGCGAAGAAAGTCAATATCAAAGTTCATTGGGATCGAGGTTTTAAGCCATTCGGACCAATACCCGGTAGAAAATGTGAATATAATACTGTTATTGCTGTTCACGGTATTTTACCGTCTAGGCAAAAACTGATGATGAAAGAAGCGCGTAACGCCTTTTTGACTTGTTAAATACTTTTATATAGTTTATCGAATCAATTACTGCTGTAATAAGAGTGTGCAATTCAGAATTATCATATATCAACCATCAAATCATTACCTTTGCAACTAAGTGTTTATCATATATTATAGAGTCATGTAGAATAAAAGTAAAAATTAAAGATTTGAGTGGATTCTGTCAACATGATGTAAATATACGCTTATATCATTTTAGTTTGATGTTCTAAGTTCTTATTCACTTTATGCGCATAACTGCTTAATTATCACTTTTTATAAAATCTCATTATAAAGCACCGCATGTGACTACTGTTTGGGTTTAAATCTCTTGTAATATAAACCATAATTCTTTTTTTAACTTACATAGATCTATTTATAGGCAGTAAGTGGTGGCAAATTCGTTATGATGTGCACATATCACTAAGTACAGTATATACAACAGTATACTCTAAGAAAGTCCATCGTAATATTTTATATCAATTACTATCAGAAATGGTCAGTTAAGCTTGACGTTTTCTAATTTCCTAAAGAAGTTACTGTACAGGCGTATCTATCTAAGAAGAGATACTGAATGAGTAAAAGCAATTCGTTGAATTGCGAAATCTTTCCAATGTCTTTATAGTGGAGATGTTGCAAGAATCTTGTATCAAGTGATGGAATATTGGATAGAATGACATCGTAACAAAAAGAATATTACTGCATTGATTAAATTGTTGCCGATGCTAGTACGTGTATGACTGAAATCACAAGGTAGAATAATGCTGCATTAAATTAGATACGCTAGCATTCATTATGATCAATGTCATTGGATGGCATTGTAATCTGTAAGGTACTCAATTAAAGTGTTTAAAGTGATGAAAATTGTATGCAATAACAGCTACAAGAAATGTGTTGAGAAATCAAGTTAGTAAAGTAATCACTTACGAATTGACAAGGAGAACATGAATTACGTACCAAAACTAAAAGTTTTTTACCTTTCTGTCGTGCGTAACTATCCGTGAGGAGTGCATAGGATATCTGTTGCACAAACAATGTAGATACAGAATGGCAACGTCGAGTCCGTTATCATAATTATTGCAGTATGTAATCAAGAAAAGTTCGTAATAATCAGCCGCGAAAGTTCAAATGCATTCATACGTAAATAATTAATAGATGAGACTTTCTCAATAATTGCTTTTAACATTTATCTCATATTTACAGCCAAGCCAAACAGTCGTTTGAGTCTGCTACTTAAGCGTCATATGACAAATTCCCCTATAATTTTCAGTATTTTTTAGAGTGGATATCACAGTGATCTACTCGAACTATTTCAATAAAGTAATAGACAAATAGCTAACTTGGAGTAGTACGATTGGATCGTATCTCCACTATTATTCATCGATCGGTACTCATCAATAGCAATTATATTTTCAGCAGTAGAAATTGCGACATCTGGCATGAATACGATAATATTGTTCCCCAGTTGCTATAATAACAATTGTTATCGTGTCATCAATATTGCTTAAATGAATTGTTTCGGGTTCGCTCATTGGTAAATATCGATAATACAGCGTCTGACTAAAATAAGCTAAAGATTACATATAACTCACAAAATCTAACTTTCCACGGAGATTTTAGCTTGAATATACTATTAAAGCTAAGAATACGTCGTACTCGTACACTGTATTCGGGATGAAAGCCTTGTAACGGATTGAAATTACATTAAAATCACATAAGTACAGTATTAAAGTAATAGATTACTTAAGACAGACGGAGTACAAGTATCGTGTATCACCTAATATACAGTATATCTCGAATAGTTTACACCAGTTCCACTACCGTTGCCGACTTTTGTATACTAACGGATAAAATCAACATTACAGAGGTGAATTCCTTTATTAATGACATTATATATATATTTATATATTGTCATATATAACAATATATTTAATTAATCAGTACCACATTGTGCGATTCCGAGCGTCTGTCTTGGATCAAATTTAGAAGGCACTCAACTGGCTATGATATAGCGATAATCTTTGGTGATAAATCTATTCAATTTTGTCCTATGACCCACTGTACTGTATGTCTACTCATACATGCTCGTTCAATAAATCTTATCTAACTCAGTAACGTATCAAGATATCAAGCGATTGTACGTTTATAGATGTAACTGGCGCAGTTGTTGCGTCTCTACGTTGGCTCCATACTAAAGCTCATCTCTGCTCGCTAGGTATATCTGCTTCTTTAATAGAGATCCTTTCTTTATCTCGATAATCCTTGTCCATCTATCCGAGTTATTATTACAAACTTGACAGTGGGTCAAGTAATTGACTGTAATGTCTAGTAAGAACAATAAACTAGAGCTATTCTTTAATACAGTATAGTATATAGTAAAGAAAAGAAATTTTGTACATGTTGCATCAAGCCCATTTTACGTTGCAGGTTGTTTCCCGTATAAAAGGACTAATCATGGCTATTTGATTAATAGCCAGAAACAATGTGAAATAGATTTAGCAGAGTATAAAGCAGTAATTTCAATCCTATTCATTGAAACACTACATAATCAAAATAGCGTAACACGTCACAAAAGCAACTGTTGTCAAGCATTCAAATCTATATATACACAAGACCGATGTGTGCGAATAAGATTTTTACAACTCTTCTAATTCGAAAACTATTATCCATTGTACTAGTGGAATAATGATAATTCGGTAATACATGGCACCGATATTGGATCGATAATATTAATTAGAAGTGTGTCTGTTGGTTATGATATTTTTATGATAGGAACATATGCGGTATTACGCACAATGTACATGATGTGGATTTTGTTATAATAAAGTAATTTGCATATTCAGTTAGAATGATAATTATATCATATTTGAGTTCAACGTATTGCTGGTAATGGCGTTATACTATGAAGAAGTTGAAAATCTTAGGAAAGAGAATTATAGCTAGAACTTTTAATATTAAGAATCTAATAGACTTTGCCATGTGATTTTCTCTTTATCTAAAACTATCAAGAAGCCTAACCATGGATAGAAGAAATGCTACACTCTATTTTTCTTTACTAGCTAATATCATTTTCGCTTTTACCATTTACTTCACTTTATTTCAGGCTGTAAATAAAAGGATGACCATGATGCAAGAACCATTTCTTGGTAATACATCAACTTTTATTCCATCAGTGAAGGGTCACAGTTTGAATGTATCTACAAATCTTCCACCCACTACCAAGTCCATAAATTTTACACCGGTTAAACTACGCTTTATGAAAGACAGCCCTGCCGCTAAACCTTGCAAAGGCAATATATTCATGTTATTGATGATAAATAGCGCTCCTAGAAATTACGAACGTAGATCTTCTATTCGAGAGACATGGGGTAAAGCTGATATTATACGAAGTGCCCTTGGAAATTATGTTTGGCGAACTATATTCATCATTGGTGATGGCCATAGTAAAAAAGTGAATGATGAAATGAATCAAGAAGCATTAAAATATGGCGATATGATTTTAGCTGATTTTGGCGATGATTTTCGTAATTTAACTTATAAGACCGTGTTGGGTATGGAATGGGCGAATGCTTATTGTAATGTAGCTAAATACTTTTATAAAGGAGACGACGATGTAATGCTAAATCCATTTACTCTATTTCCTAAATTGGTATTTATGGAAGGTAAAAAATTATTCATGGGTAATATCATGTCTGGTTCTGAAGTGGTTCGAGTAAAAAATAGTCGATACTACGTTAGTAAGGAAGATGTAGCTTCGTCGGTTTATTCTGATTATTGTTCGGGTTTTGCGTATGTTATTTCGATGGATGTATTACAAGCTATGGTAGCAGTCGTACCAAAAATTCGAAAGATACCTATTGATGATGCATATGTTGGTATGTTAGCAAAGGAAGTCAAGATTCCAGTTCATTGGGATCGAGGTTTTAAGCCATTTGGGCCGATTCCATCCAAAAAATGTGAATATAATACTGTTATTGCTGTTCACGGTATTTTGCCTACTAAGCAAAAATCAATGATGATTGAAGCACGTAAAGCATTTTTAACTTGTTAGCTCTTTCAAATAGTACTTGTATCGAACATTTCGAAGATCTTTACGTTCGTATATGGCGAATGGACATTGTTAAATACCCTATAACTAAAGGTTGATTTTGTCGATATATTTCTGTTTAATAATTTGAATTGATAGACAATGTAAGATTGTGATGACATCAGTACAGGTGAAATACTGATAGTTGGTCTAGAATTATATTGAAATAATGTAGTAACGGTTATTATGTGCGTCCAGTATTTGATTGACGATGATACTACTATTTCATTTCAATTGTACTCGTATATCTGGATATGATTTACAATATAAAATACTCTGCTCTCCATTTATGTCTTTCAAATGCTCAATGATTTATCTTTCGGAATGCTATGATGCATATCACCGATAAAATTGTTACTTCAGATTGACTAAATTATTACCTTCGGAATCAACATAGCTTTATAAATACACATGCAGTATTAGTGTTGTTAATCAATAGTAATTTGTAATATCTTAAAACACTCATCTTTTACGATATCCATTGCCAATATTTACAAAATGATTTTTGCAATCTTAGCGTATACATAACTCGCAGTAGCGCCGTACATCTAGTTACTTTTAAATCTTTTAGCTGCCCTATTAATACATAAAGTGGTAATTTGCATTTTTAACAAAAAAGTTCAATCTCAATTACAGTAAAGTCAAAACAATTATTACTTTAGACCTTGCTGCAATTAAGTTCGTTCTAGAATTATGTGCAAGATAATACATCTTGGCTATATCATTCCTTCTTCCAATTAATTCATTACGATAAAATTGAACGTTATAGTTACATTTGTGGCGTCAGATCGCATGAAGAGTGTGTTCCATTTAGTGCAATACTAGCTTATGAAATTATTTTGTAATTGCACTTTCGTAACACGTCCAAAAATGAGTAGTTAGTATCTCTAGTATTTTTAGCAGCAGTTAAAGCGCTCTATGCTGCCAAAGGTTCGCAAGAAAAATGCGAATGTTTTGGCGATTAATTAAATCAATGGATAAGACAACTGTACCGTTGGTAATGTGATTAAAATTTAGAAAGAGAATTTAGTTCGGCTCTGTAAAATAAAGTTTATTTAGGTGTATAGCTCAGATAACTCAACATAGAACTTGGATCTGGCGCTGTCGATTTAGCACAGAAATATCGCATGCTTTACTCTTACATTAGGGGTCACAATGTTAATAGACTATTTATATTAATTTTTTCTTGTTATTATTATAGTCTTTGTATATCTCCGAAGTGCTTTCAATACTAGTTTTTCCTGCTCTACAAGACTTATCTCAGAAAGGTGGATAAGTTTATGGTTTACGTGAGAAGTGCGAAAGGAGTTTCTCATCTGTCTGTTCACTGGCAACATCTGGTCATTATTTTACTGTACTGTATGCTTGCACACTGCAATTTGAATGGCAGGTCATCCGTCTATCTGTATATCTGCAAGAGTCGCCTTGCCTGAACTACTTCACCAGGTGGTAGTCCATGGGTGTTGCCTGTATAAAATTTCTCGTGATCGAGAAATAGAAAATTACAAATGTACACTGTACGTACAGTCGTGGACGCTCTATTACTAGATGATATGAATATCATATGATACTGTATATGTTGTAGTCCATGGTAAGGTAGTCAAATTTTTGAACAACAAAACTATTGGAACTGATTAAGTCGATAACGCGGCCCAAATAAAGTAAAATCATTGAATCTGTAGTAGAGAGCGTTAAAGGGCTTTAAAATTCTTATAATAGTTATACAGTACAGTACGCTATGGTCCATTAGCTACATCTTTTAGTATCTCTAAGTACGTTTGACCTTCGTTGGTTAGCAAGAGCTCACGAGCTTAGCTAGTTGCCAACTAAACCCTGACTTTTCAATGGCAGTGTTCATACGTTAATACCTCGTGGCCAGATGCCAGTCGAACTATTTTTTACGATCGATTTCGCTCTACGGTAATACTGTACACAGTACAGTACAGTACTGCAGCAACAATTTAGACCGTACATGTATTAGAGAATCAGCTCACAAAGACTTCTATTCTAGATTTCCCTACAGCAAATCATTGAATCAAAATTCATGCCCACTGCCATGTACTGACTGACTGTACTGTATTACCTTTTAACGCGGTACAGTCCATAATAATAGACTCTGGCTGCTCGTCAATCTGACGAATCACGTAGAAGCGATAGCTGATAACTCGGCGATAAGATTACCGGTGTGATATCTGATAACTGGACCTTTGTAAAAACTGTCTTTAACTGTTCATACTAGGTGGCGAATCATTAGCTTACAGTACTATAATTTTTAGAAAAGAATATAAAAACAAATGGTATCAAAATTACCTCGTTATGCAACACCCGCAATAGCTGCAAAGTAGAAATAATCACAACACTAAATACACCAGCTATGCGGTATAGTAACAAGTTTTAACAGTAGCACAATTCTGTGCTACAAAAATGGCAAACGCATTTTCAAAGGCCATTACTTGCACTTGTTAACTCAACCGGGCCAATCCAAAATTTCTAGTTGATATTGTATAAATAGTATTTCTTTCGTGTCAAATCCAGGATATTTGCATATTGGTTATTCTTTCACTAAGGCTGAAGCAATAATAGAAGTCTACAAGTATTCCATGTCCGCCACATTCTTGCTTGTCTTCCGAGTAAAGCTCTTCAAGCGCTAAACTTTCCAGAGCACTATCAAAGTCCACGCGCACACAGAAATTGTGAGTTTCACTGAAATTTCTTTAGTCCATACATGTTACATACACTTTTCCGATTGACTCTACTGACGTCAGCGGATAAATTTCTAAAAATTCTATTATACTATACACTCCATAGTGCATTGTAGTATGTACGAGTATAGTACAGTGATGGAAGATCGTTCGTCATTACATCGACAGAATCAATGACAAATATCTCATTCATTACATTGGGCAGTCGAGCTTATCTCTCGACGTCAAGTCATCTATAAATACGGGATGATCCATGCTAGGCTTCACTCCATTAGCTTCAGTTTCACATACGGATCAATTGTAGGTCATTTTTTCTTCGTGGTTCTCCAAAACGATTCAGTTTTCGCAATTTGTTGCAAATTTTGTATATGCAATCCTTTCAAACTATTTGCTAATCATGGATAATCACCAACTTTCCAATTTAAACTTCGAGCCAGTGAGCTACTTTATAGGAAATGGATCGGAAAATACCGTGTTAAACGATTGGGATCCATTTGTTTGCTCTGTTGAAACTACATTTCAACTACCTTTAGCGAGCGAAGTAAACGATTTAGGTAAGTTTTTGGCAATATCAAGATTGAAAAATTCTCAGATTAAACGTAGTGGCTAAGTTAGGAGATAAATGCTAGTATATTCCTGCCATTATAATTATTAAAGATGATCTGTCGCAAGCAGCCTCATAGTAAATATACTCTTTTTCAGTCAATTCTGCTGCATAGATAGATTTCATTTATACGCGCATTTCTATCGCATCATAGAAATTAAAATTCTTTCTAAGATTGATGCAAATACCATTATTGCAACAGCTGAATTTCCATTACCTTATTCAGTCAATAATAAGAAGGAAAAACTACTATTTGCACTAAGTTATAACCAAGAATAGAGTATCATAAAATTATGTAACTTGGTTGATTTAGCTCTACTGCAGATTGTGTTGCATAAATCACTAGAGAATTTCAGTGTTTATGTCATGAAAGCTTTTTCTCTATTTCCAACATTTTTCTATGTCATAGTTGACCTTACTAATAACACGTGTTGACTGGACCAGTGAAGTCCGTAAATCATACGTGCTACAGAATGCGTCGAATATTTACGCTATTGTTTATACGAAATATCAACATCAGTCTTGTAAGAAACTGTATGGAGTTTATATATACGATACCCTATACTATACTGTATTGTAGTCAACCACATGGAAAACAATAGACAGTATCAGTGATAAGGGATCCTATTCAGTTGTCGTCACGTGGCGTTGATGTAGCGTTTGATATATGGAGACTAGACCTTTATGGTAAATTGCGATCCATTCTGCAACAATCGTTAATATGAAATTTTAACCGATCCAGATAGTGCAAATCTGAATGATCATGGAATTGGATATCCTAGTAGTGAGAAAGAGGAATATGCAATAAATGATGCTAAAAACGTGGAAAATACTACAAATCATAATTTACCTACCGCGGTAATGTCATCGTGTCCAAGTAGAATATTTCGTGCAATTCCTTTTCCAGATTTCGATACATCCGTCTATAACGATCTGTCTGAGGATGAGTTGTTTAACCAGCTGAGGTATTTGGTAATGACAGGTGACAGACCAAATGCTTCTGGAGTGTCGAAGGTAAGATCTGATATCCATAATATAAGAGAATGCTGTTAATCGAGTTTAGAGTGGATTTTTACATTCATACTAGACGTTAATTGTACTGCCGCATATCACACATTGCTGAATCAGTTATTTTCCTTTACGAGAGAGCTCAGAAAAGATTATTACATTCATACTAGAGGTTAATTCTAGTTCTATTTATTGCATATCACACATACAGTTAAATCAGCTATTTTTCTTTACGAGTAAGGAGAAGCTCTTAGCAGGGACTTCTCGATAAAAAATGATTTCTCAAAAATGAAAGAAAGAGAACAGCAGGAAACGAGTTCACAGTACAATGTCCTCACTTTTTTTCCATTTTTGAGGAATCATTTTTATCGAGAAGTCCCCTAACCTTAGTTTTTACTAGACGATAATTCTACCTCAATACATATCACAGAGTTGAATCGGTTATTTTCCCCTACGAGAGCTAGGAGGGGATTTTTATATTCATACTAGAGGTTAGTTTTAGTTTATATTGATAGGTAAATAATATTTTACAGCAATGCTGTTACCTGTATGATAATCATATATACACTACATATATAAGTTAATTCTGCAACAAATTAATCTATCAGAACAGTTGCTGAAATGATTGTAAATCATTTGCTAGATGTTTCATCAAATGCAATTTATACGTATATATGTATTAGGTCGCAATACTACAAGCTGCTATTCAATACATTTCGCAAGTATCTTACGGTAAGAAACCTATACACCTCATTTACACAATTCAACTAGTATGAGCAATCTACTTTAAGGCCCATTTTTCTATATCACTGAGCGGTTAAAGATAACTAGCTTGGAATAAAAAGGCTCAATTTATATTCATAGAAAAAGATCAAACTGCTGAAGAAAGTAATTTCAAACCTGCCATAAAAGCGTAAGATATTTTTTAAAAATTACTGTCCTAAAATAATGCTATAAAAATGAGAGACTATCTAAAATGAGAAAAATGACTTATGATTTGGATGAATAAATTATAAAGTTAGATGTAAGGAGAAAATTGAATGTCATTACAATGCAAATGCATTAAAAATTTTCCAATTAATGTTTTAGTGATATCCAAAGTATTCTAGATGAAAGTCTACAGTACCCATATTGTGCTCAAGCTCAGGAATCAGGTTATGGTAGTCTAACTCCATCTATAAATAGCAATCCATCTTCGGCTAGGGAAACTCCTGTTGACATAGAGGATACTGCAAATTTAGAAACTTTGAAGGAGCTGAATTCGATCAATTTTCCTGATGTAACTAGTATATTTAAGCATGACAGCAACGTTAAAAGCAAGATCGTTAAACCAAAAAGAAAATATCGTAAAAGGCAAGTAGTTGATAAAAAAGGTAATAGCTGTATTCGCACCGCACTTGATGATGAAACTGCAGGAGATGGGTGCAAACGAAAACATCGCACATATCAGAACCATAAGAAGAATACTCTACACCCTAAGAATTCACTTGCTAGAATAAAGTATTTAAGGAATCAAGGAAGGAAAAAGATGAATGGGTGAACACAATAAGGATAATAATCATTCATAGTGAAATAGCAAAATAGCAAAAGATAATTGAAAATAGGGATGAGTCAATCTTAAGAATTTTTTCTTAAATTCTTTATCTTGGGCAGATATATGCTGTTTAGCAGAGTCATGCGGCCAAAAATTAGGTCTTATCTACCTGAAATCCGTATGCCTGATTGCGTTTGTATGATGGCTAGACTGTGGAATGATTTACCAGAGCGCTATAAAGCACCTTTTAATGATGCAGCCCTAAGAATTCGTTTAGATACTAAAATGAAAGTGCAGAAAGGGGTACGTGAAGGCGTCTCTACAACTTTGAAATTTAATTACATGGGTTATCCTCTAGCTTAATAATGAAAGATAACCAATTGAACACCGCCAATTACTTATTTTTATACGCTTTCATTCACAGATTGGGGAATTCCGCGCTAATAATAATAGAATTAATGAAATATTAAAACCCTATCTCGCCGATTCAGATCTTGTAAAAATGCTAGACAGACTTGCTAGTTGTTGCAAGCAGGATTGCGGTAAGTAGAGAAATGATTGCGTTTTTCTCTTACGTTTTAATAAAAAGAATTATAGATTATAAATTATACATTAATTTTTATTTGGTGTAAGTGCATTACTGAATACATTATGTAAACATATCTTGTACGCATACAAGTAAAACTAAGGTTATTAGCCTATTTTCTCAAATATACTCTCATATCTTTATTATCGTCGTTGGAGCAGAGCATTTAAATTCTAGCATTATTGACGGATTACGCAACAAATCCGCTTAATAATTTAGCTTATAACAATTAAATTCTAATTACAATATTGCAAATTAGGTTACTACGTATTAGCAGGAACAGAAATTGTGACTAGCTAGATTGATGCCATGACGTAGCAGAATTTATCATAGCTGCAGTATTTTTTTTTAGGAATGTTAATTTGTCATGAATCTTTACTTGATTCTGAATAACAAGTTTGCGGCAAGACTTTTAATTTCTGGTCGGCAGAAAATAAGTACCCTTGATGATCTCGTTTTGGTTATCACAAGAAAACTATTTAAAAAGATAAATTTTTCCATATTTCTGGATGGTACAGTGAAGAATTTATAAAGCGTTATAACTTTAAGACTACCAAAGGCCACTTTACACTTTTTGTTAGCAAATTTTAAAATTATAGAAACGGTTTACTTTCTAAAAGATACGCCTTGTTAGCAGTCTAGGTTACATATAGGTAGAATTGAAACAAGCTGACTTTCTGATATTGAAAAGCTCTCAGCGATATAATTTTTGTATTTTATGCATTTCGTAAATAATTTCAAGGTATCAGTATGACAGATGGAAGCAGTTCAATATATCTTTTGAAATATAATATTTTTTCTTTGCTACGAAATAAATAAAGTTATCTGGTGAATATAAAAGCGATATAAAAATTTCATTTGATCTTCTACTCATTTTCTTTTCTTAAAAGATTTCATAAAATATAGCATACAAGTATACGTATATTATACATTTGTACGCGAAATACTTGGAAAGTTACGAGCATTTATACAATAATTAACGATTGTTTAACTGCCAGCTCTGTCGAAAACATAATCAGTATTATAGATGCTCCATATTACACGCGTAATGATTTGACTTTAATTAAGAACATTAACAATATTTGTATTTGATTAGTGCAATATACAGACTTTAGTAATATTTTAAGCCACGGCAGTCAAGCATTTTCGACATAGTACGTTATTCCACTTTAGCTTAGTGTAACTTGGAAGAGGAGATTCCAGCTCAATCATTACGTTCTCTTCAAAACTCGATCAAGCTGGTTTACAAAATTCGAAAGTTAGTGCGAAATAATTTTACATGCGATTAATTAGAAAAGCTTATTATTCATACCTCTTTAGGACTGAATTGTAGAATAGTTGCAATAGCTTTAACTATTTGCAGTTTGCTTATAGGATTATCGGCCTCCATATAATGAAGGACGATATTTTTAAGATATTCTAAATTGGCCGTCTCACGAGATCTGTATCGCAGCAATGAAATACCAAAATTGTCATCATAGCATCTAATTACAATAACTGCCAATTATGCTATACTATTATATCACTAACTTATCTCGTTCCAGTTTTCTAATTTCCTCCTTTAAGGCTTTACATAAATCTAAGTGAGTTTGTTCTCTGAATAACAGAATGGCATTTCCAAATGAGGAAATAAGACAGTATTTATCTCTTTAGGAAGATATAAATTCTTACCTTTTTGCTAAATCTCGCATTTCCTCCTCTAGTTCAAATTTTGACTTCCTCAAAGAAGTCAATTCGATTTCTACCTTAGCCTGTTCTTGTTGATAATGTAACAAGATTCCATCTCGACTTGATACCTAATTTAACGCACCGATGATAGTAGAAGTTGTTATCTACAAGCTCTAAACAGAGCCCACTTTAAAAATAAAGATATAACTTAAAAGATTCTTACTGTAGCGGTAGCAGGCATAGACAGCAGTCTATTTACCGCATCCTCCGTGACCTCGCCGCTGAACTAATAAATAGAATATTTGTACATTTATTCTCAATGAAAGCAACCAAAAGTCCTATAATGTAACCAAAACCATCTACAATGCTTATCTACGTACAAGATGACTCCCTTCAAATGATACCGTTCTATTCATACTTTCTGTAAAAGATTGTAGATTTTGTATCAAATTTGGCTCTTAACATTTAACGACGTTAAAGTATCAAGAATTCCGAGATTGGCAGAATACCTTTAGAATCAGCTAATATGTCACGTGAATATCGGCGAGATATTCTGCTTGGTATTGGCAATAAATAGTCGGTGCTGCCAGTTAAAAATATATTGTACATGATATTTTAATGATTTTGCTACTAAAGTGGCTGTGCCTATCAGACGGCGGTATATAATAAAAAAGGTAAATAATCATCGAAACCTATAACTGGTTTGAAGGGCGCTGTTGCCGAGGCTACCATTAGTATTTGTATTGGTCTTTAACTGATCGACCTCTGCTTCCTTATCCGCTAACAATTCAATAGTTCGTTCACGTTGTCTTTGCATTTGCTTTCTTGCTTCGTCAAGTTTCGCCTGAATACGTAAGCCAGTAAAGTGAATTATGGCATTAAAAATTTTTAGAGCTATACTACCCAAAAGAGAACTCCTACCAATGATTCGCTTTTTATCTTGTTAATATCATTATCAAACTTTCCCTGCATATCTTTGATTTCAACTTTAAAATAATTTATCTGCAGTATGTAAGTTAATTAGTAATTCAATTATATAGAAGGCAAAATCGTACTTCCGTAAATATTGCTATACCGATTCTTTATATTCCTTTTCTTTTCCTTCAAACCAGCTTCTCTCCGAAATAAGCTTGTTGTTTAGTTCTACAACCTGACGCTGCAAGCTACGATATTCCTTAATATTGAGATCCTGTGAAGGAAAGATATTTACTGTTTAATACAGAGGATGTTCTATTAACTTATGTACGTATACGAGGGTAAAATTTTACCTGGCTTCTGCTTTTCGCATGTAATTGAGTTTGAGACTTAAATTTCTCAAAATCTTCCTTAACCTGAGCTAGTTCTCGCTTACACAACTATTTTGAGAATTAATATTATACTGTATCAGATTTTACGGGAAATACGCTCGTATATATAATTACTGTATTAATACCTGATAAGCTAATTGTGGATCTTCTACTTCCTCATCTACGCATAGCAAATTCCCCAATAGATTGTCAAGGTTTATAATTAGACCGATTGATGGCAAAATACTAGTAATGGCGCTCTAGCATACAGAAACAGTAGTAGAATATTATGTCTTACGTGATGAGGCTTGATTACGTTGGTTTGCTTCAAGGCTTTCGTCCTGTAGTATGAAGATTTTATTATTATTTATAATTATAATTATTGACAGTTACTTTGTTAAAACGATTCAACAAAATAAGCTCACAGGTTGTTGATATGGAGTATTCGATTCCTTTTGTGATAATTTTTGATACCTAATTTTAGAAATAGAAAATGTGATGTTACGAAAACTTACATGTTTCCTAGACTATTTTAGAATGGGATAAACTTACTCCAGTTGTTGGCTGACTTTGGTGGATGTCTCTGTTAAGGATGTATTCTCAACATTTAACTGCAATACCTTTTCCTTCAAGCGTCTAAAAGTTAATTTGATCTAAAATATAATTAAGCTGCCAACTACCGTAATTATAATCATTTCTAGTGATTTACAGTACTGTAGTACAATATAGCATCACGTTATGCGCATATTACTATTTTCTACCTAATTGTAATTTGATCTCGTTCTTTTTCGCGCTCAGATACTCCAATTAAATCTGATAATTCTGAAACTTTTCTTTCTAAATCTGCTACTCTGTACTCGTCTCTGTGTGCCATATCACGAATTCGATTCTTAGAGTCTTGCAAACGCTGTTGTTCATTGGCTAACTCTTCCATATGCTGAGCCTTAGAATATACATATATTGATATATGACAGTCATTAAAGTTGCTTTCTAGATCATTATCGAGTGCATCAATGAAAACAAATAAACAACAAATTTACCCTAAGTTCATCAAGGTCCTGTTGTAATTTCGTTTCTGCAGCAGTCGGTTGGTTTTTATATTTTTCGAGCTCATTAATCTTAGTCTCCGCATTCTTGGTACATATGAATGTATTAGGTAATCATTCAGTTAGTCATCCAACATATTAAAACGCGATAACAACCTAATATGTATCTCTTTAAATATATTTAGTGATATTTTGGAATGGATAGTATAATACAATACCTATAGCACATAGTCTTTAATTAGCAAAATCGATATTTTAACTTATCAATATACCTTAAGATCACTACCCAGTGTAGTTACAGATTGCTCTAATTTTGTGATACTACAAAATTGTTAACAAGAACTTCCGTTGTCATTCACGAATAGATAGTATTAAACGACATAAACAATTTTTGATTACGTTTCATCTTTTGAATCTTTCATTACAGTTAGTTGATTCTCTAGGTGTTCAATCTATAAGTAAAATTTTAGAACAGCACTATTAAAATGGCATTTGAAATTTCATGGTAGAGTAATAATATGGAAGAGATAGTTTAGTTATCACATTTAGCTGTGCTTAGTACTGAATTACGTTTCGAAAACTGTCTATCAGGCAATTTATATAAGGGCTTATATGACGTCCAAGAGAAGTCTTTTACCTGTTTTTTCTGTTCATCTTTTATCTGGCGTTCATTTTCAAGTATTTGCTGTAGTTCCTTTATTACTTCTGTATGCGTAATCATTTCTTCATCCCGTTCTTGAAGTGTTTGCTTTAAGCGTTGTCGTACCTACACGCAGTAAGAGTATAGGTTGTAGCAACATTTTATCCAAGTAAGATAATCTAAAAAGTCTAGTTGAAACTTTATTTAGGGATTATAATACTATATAGATACAACATAGAGAATCATTGGCATTGGCATTGCGAAATAACCACGTACTTCGTGTAATTGATCTTCTACATGACTAATATGCTTATCCTTTTCTTCTACGACTCTATTGCATTCTTCAGTTTTTTGTTCCATTTCACGCTGCGTAAGCAATATAAAATAATTTGGCTAAGTAAACTCGATTGTGCTACAGTTAGAATTAAATCTATAAACTGCAATTTATCTGTAATAATATACCAATAGCAGCTTTTTATCAGCTTGAAAACGAGCAGATATTTTCGCTTTCTCTTCAGAAACAGTTACTAATGATGAACTTAATGTTGCTAACTGTTCAGATAGCTTTGTAACCTCAGATTTTGGAACTACATCACCGTCCACCTTGATGAATATAATAATATTTTAGATCAAAGCTGTTGTAGTAAGCTCTAGACAATTTAATATAATGCTGTACATTGAAAGGTATTGAGTAATCGATGTTGTGCAATATCTCACTTGTAGGCGATATAGATTATTATTAGGAATAGTTCAATACATACTGAATTGAACGTGATGCAATAATATCTAACTCCTATATTATACACTTGGATAATGTCTATTGAGCTTGCCTTATTTCCTCTTGGAGTTATGCTTTCTTCACTGTCGTTAAGGATACCATCGATTTCGTCTTCATTACCTTTTGCTATTTCTTGATCGCTAGCTTCCTCCGAAGTCGGAGTCATTTGCTGTCTCTCATTATGTCGATGACTGAGGACTTTAACTGAACGTTCGAGAGCCTCTTTTTCCTTGGCTAAACTTTTGTATGCCCGAATTACATCTAGAAAATGGAACAGACCAGAAATGATCATTACATAAAGTAAGAATATTTTCGTGTTCCGGTCATAATTTATTTATTTAAAATACGTCTATTGTAGATGACTTTGCTAGTAATAATATCGACCATAAGCAATGTTTGGATAAGCCATTGAAAACAGTACAATACACGTATACCTTTTAATTTGATGTTAGTAAGGTGGATTGATTTAATTTAATAGCGAGCTATACAGTACTGATACAGTAGTTATTGAAGTCAAAGAGCTGTGTCCATTTCTTTACTTTACATTGAATCGAGTATTAGATTATGGTAACAAATTTATCCTACTAGCAGTAGATATATAAATAAAGTTTTAAACGATTGGCTTTGTATTTTCATTGAAATAAGTGACTTATGTTGATCTTTAATGACAGTAAACTGTCAAGATGAGCAAAGACGAGTAAAATTCATGATGTAGTGTACTGTATATCACCCATAACTTTATATCTGGATGCGTTGTACTATAGTTATGGAATACAGTACATTCAATAGGTTATGTAGCGACGACAGTCTACTAAACAGTTTAGCAGTTTGTAAAACTGTCTTGAGCATTAAAAGATGGAACCTATAGGTAACATATGAATGGATTTAATGAAATTATGATATGATTATAATGGTTGTTAGATACTGTAAACGACTTCGTAGTGATTGAATTTAGTCAGGTTGCTGAATCGTCAACCTGATTGGTGCTAAAGAGGCTCTCTATCGGTAACACTTATGCAATTGTTAGGTGATCCAAATTCATAAAAAACATAACTGCATCCACAGTATCGAATACACCTCTACTAGTTGACTATGGTTGGAGCTTATTACTATAGTATAGCAATAAGCCATACGATTAGATTGCAATAAGCCCCCCTAAAAAATATGTTCAATACTGTCAATACTATCCAGTATACGCGTCGAAATGGAGTATTCCCGTACTAACAAATCATAACAATCCTTAATGATATCCTAGATAAGAATCACAGCTATCAAAATTGATATAGAATTTAATGTTGATTATCGATCGATATTGTTATTATAGTTGATACCTCGAAGTCTAGATTCATAACGAGATATTTGCTCCTTTTGCTCATCGATGTAATCCAACAGCTTGTCTGTAGAATTGCTATTATTCATAAAACCTTGGAACATAATGCCAGGCTTTGAATGATTCACGTCTATACTTGTGATCGAGTGTAAAGAAGAAATAGAAGCATGGATAAACACTACTACACTACATAAAGCAGTGCCTATTACAAATCATGAAGGAGAACGATTGAAGATTAGGCCAGTAGCAGCGATATCAAGTAGAAATTTCAATTCATGCCTGTTGCCAGTTGGCCATTTTGATTCGAAAATGGATTATAGACCAATATCAACAAGGCCCATATTGCGTGTATTGTACAGTACGGTGGACAAGCACTGTATTACAGTACTGCCCAGTACCGTGTTTTGCGCACTAACTCAGTCCACCGTCGTGTCCAGGAATTTCATAGTGAACCTTAGGCTACAGTGCAAGGTACTGTCATTTACAGTACAGTACTCCTGGACTACAAAAGTACTGTAAGCTTAACTGGGTTGAACACGGGAGGCAGACAATTTCTGCACCATGATTATTTCAAGCCTTGCAAAAATGAGCAAAATGGCTGTCACCCTTAGCCTTCATTTCAGGTTGTGCATGCAGAAGTGGCATCCATGGACTGCGAGATGCACCGCTAGTCCATGCTACTAATATCTTAATGACTTACTGTAATACCCTGTGGAAAATGTCATTTTAATGTATTCCGAGGTCAACCTGATGTGCAATAGCCACAGGCAATTCTACCGTTGCAGTGATTCATGATTAGCAGAAATCTTGTGACTGCATCAGATCTCCGACAGTCATGACATGACTTTTGCCGGCTTTTCGTACCAGTTGAATTTGGACTGTATCACCAGAGTGTCAATAACTATACTGTATTTCTTTCTTTTACCTTACCTTGCTTGTATCAACGTCATTCATACAGTAAGAGTATAGCAGCCTTCACCAGGTGAAAAGTGCTCATTTAAATGGCAAAGATCGCTATAGGATTGAGTGCTCGCCATTATTAACTACTGCAAAGGCATCCATATCATAAAGTAGAGATAGACTACCATCTAAGAGAAGGGTTGATTCTTATTTATAAGTGGTATGATTGCAATTATTACAAAACTCAGTACCATAGTCTATTACTGTATACGAGAGTCGACTAGCATAATATCAATATGTCTGAGCAATTGAAGGAAACTAAATTACCCATCGATCAAAGTAGCGATCAAAATATCATCTTTCAACCTGTAACACTGTCTGGTAATTACCTAAAAGACACGACTTCAACCCTGGAATATGTCTATTTTGCAATAAGCTGGCTGTTATACAATTATCGCAGCGATTGCATCAATAAGCTCTCTTTTAATTCAGTCAATTTATTTACCAAAGATGGCCTGCCAAAGGGTAGTTTTGACACCACCAAGATCGAAAATTGGAATTCTTGTCATTTACACAGGCAATGGAAGGAGCATCATCAGTCGTTTGCTTGTACTGGTGTATTCGTTTTTGCAATCTTAACTGCTGATGTTCAAATTCTACCTGTAAATAAACCTGATTCAACGAGTCACAATGGTCCTAATTGTGTTGACCATCGCATTTATACTTCTTCTATCCTTTTATCCGTATTTAATCACTTCATGCTGGAAGGCCGTAATTCCACCGCTATCCAGGTCGAAATGGAAAATTCCCTCCTAACTTTAGCCAAAGGAGATGCAATATGTATTTATTTCTCCTTTGGATGCTCGTCACAGTTGATAGAGGTGATAGCTATTGATGCGTTGTTCATTAGAATGAATTCATTATTATTAAATGGTAGCCTTTTTAGCGAATACCACAATAACGTCACTACTACGGTACGAATAATAATATTCGTATATTGTACGTTATATGCAAACCTTATAGAATACACTACCGAAGTTAATAACTGAATACAGCAATGAAGTTCCCAAACCGAAAAACATTTCTGCTTTAACCAATTTAGAATCCAACTTGGTTTGATGATAGCAACTTCGTAATTCATGATTATCGAATATCGAATCGCTTCATACTTGATTATTATTATTGTAATCCTTTCTCAAAGCCTTGCTTCATATCATTCTATTGAACTTATTATGGTATAGGCACGCTTCATATTTAAGGATCAAATTCAAATGCAAGTTCGAAACCTGGCTAACGAGATAGTTAATTACAGATCGAGTCAAAGTGAGGTAAAGATCAATGTTGCATTTTACTTACAGATTAACAAACTCTAGATTTAGCCCAGCTAGAGGAGCTAATGAACAATAGACTGTTATCTACGTAAACTTAATAGACGACGTATTACGGTATTTTCCATTCAATCCGTTGTTCACAATCATAGCAATAATACAAGTTCTACTCTTAGGCGGATTTAAATCAAATGCATAATGAAGACGAAGTAGAAAAAAGGATCAATAGTTTTGCCAAGAAAATGGTAGCATTGTATAGATCATTAATTGATAGCTACGTTTAGCCGTGCCAGAATATTAAGTCATACATTTATTGAAGGGCTTTCATTGCTTTATTGCTTTTTGAAGGGTGGTTTACCAAATGGAGTCACGAAACCCATAGCTTCATTTGTTAAGAATAAAGAATATAAAAGCGTTCTGACAAGTATTGTAAGTTTTGTTACCAACTTGGTGTTGGCTAAAGTTTTACTCAAGTTAAACAATGCCTTTTCTTCATGTAGGTAGACACTGCATCGCCACCGATATTGGTTAAACCACTACTAAAGTATTTAATTAGTAAACTGTAAAGGAATCTCACTAATAAGTAATTCAATTAATTGCTACCGTCGTCGTGATAGAATCAACTCTTTTTACTGCAATCGAGCGAGATAAAATCATGTCATTTGCAATGAAGAAATAATTTAGAACTACTAATCTAACACCTTAAATAATGCCTTTACTGGCTACTTTATGAACCGCTGAAAAAGATCAACATAAAATAGATTTCGTGTTATCTCAGGCAATAAAGTAACACCTTTTGCCAATGACATGAACTTTTATAGTTCATTAATCATTTCGTGATTGTTGTGTAAATAACTATAATACTGCACGTTGCAGTAGTACCATCGATGAAGCACTAGATTGATAGTTGGATAAACAAATTTTTATTCAGCATAATTTTAAACAGTCTTAACACAACGTCCTGTTAGTAGGTTTCGGGAATGCTAACGTTACAAGGAACAGGTGTACATTACATTTGAAAGCGATAATTTGATAGTTAGCTAAAGCAGCTTATGTTATTACAAGTGCTCAATCTAAAGGTATACTATACTCGCAAAATACTAAATTTGGGAGGATCTTTTAACTGTCATTGGCTTCCTAATAGAAAATGCAAAAATACGTTAGCTTTCTTTATAATAGTCGCATTTTAAATTACAGTCACATGACGATAGTAAAATCCGGTATATATGTTACGTATATACGGGTAAACACACTGCACTCACAACCGCTTCAGCTTCTATGGATACGCTTTCTTTCTATGATGAGTTCTGTAATGTTTTAAATATCAAGAATCGTCGTTAATTAGATTTAATCTTTTATAACAAACTTTTTATCCCCAAAGTAAGCTATTAATACACTCACAGTGCCCATTAGATATAAAATTCGAGTCAATTTGAAAAAAGTGCTATGTAAATACAGTAATGTGAAATTCATGATAGGTAATTCACTCACAGTGTTGCCATCATCTGTAACATTTTCTGCTGGCGTTGGTTGATCTTGCGGTTGTTTACGGGTATCTTCTTCAGCAAATTTTTGAAACATTTTATTATATCGTTTTTTCTCCATTGCTCTTTCTGCATTATGAAGATGCAGTGCTCTTGCCGATAACTGCTTGGCAGCTTTATTTTCAGGCTCAAGTTTCAATAATTCTTGCAAGCCTTTGTATGCAATGAGATAATCTTTCATGCCAATTTGAGCCTGAAATAGACTATTGATTAGTAAGTTTTACACACGAGAAGTATCAAAATTTTCGTTAGTGTTAATTTACCTGCGCTTTACGATACATCGCTTTAATATTATTATTATCAAGTTCAAGAGCCTATACAAGTAGGTAATACCGGTATTAAATCAGAATGAGATGGCATTGAAAAGTTCTCCTACTGTACGCTTTTTAAATACCTTATCACATGCAGAGCAAGCAGCGTCAAAGTCGTCAATTTTCAAATTACATGCCGCTTCATTTAAACGACCGGCCAATTTCAATTCAGATGCTGAACTTTTCTGTTCATCACTAAAGTCATCGGTATCCGCCAAAATACTAGCAATATCAGCGTAACTCTTCAAGGCAAGTTTCATTTTCATTGCCTAGCAGCACCGTATGCAAAAAATATTTAAACATTATTTCCATCTTTAACAATCCCCATATATCAGAAACAAGGAGTTTAAACAAATTGAAATTCTTTACTTTAAAGAATTCCGTTCCACGGCTCTTGCGACTCCGTGCACATTCCAATTTTTTATCTTGATCCATATTCCAAGGAGTTAATTGCTATTTTATAGAGAAAGGGAAAATAAATATTTGCTAACTTTTAAATGTCTTTAGCGATAGGAACATTGGTGAATGAATGAGACACCTCTTCCAACCACTTTAGTTCGATTTCATACTCAAGAGATGCATTAGGGGGAATCGATAGCTCAGTATTGCCCTTTTCACCGAATCCATAAGCAGGTGAAACGGAAACAGCAGCTATTTCGCCTTGTTTTAACTTGAGGATAGCAGTTTCAATGATTGGCAATATGCCAGCACTATTGCCTATAACATATAGACATGAAAATTATTGCAATTTAACTAAGAAATAGAGATTGGGAATTTAAAAACATCATGCAGCACTTTACAAATTCTAAGGAAATTTGGGATTGTTATCTACTGTATACGACCACATACAACTCCTTACTCTATGCCGTATGCAATATATTACGGGTATACCGTATTTCATAAAACAACAGAGACAGCTATTCACTACATGCTACGTAAGAAAGTTATTAATAACAATCATGTATTAGTCGGGTTCGATATTACTATTAACTAACCGTCGCCAATAAAGAATCGCACATCCTTATCTTCAAAGACATTGCTTTCGTTGGAACCCTTGATATGTACTAACAAGATATCATAGGAAGCAAAATGTTATATAATTTTGAAAATGAATACTTTGCCAATTTTACACACAGCAATACTTTATCGCGTTGGTAATACAGTAGTAAAAAATAGATAGGCTATCATTTCATTTCTTACTATACAAAGTGGTAGGCTAGCTACGTTACTGTAAGAATGAAAATATATTGTAGCTATAATGTACGTCGATCAAAGCTTTAGTTTACTGTATCGAACCTTCCACTTCCATCCCTTCCTCAGGTGTATCGAATTCACTGTCACATCGTTTGATCATCGCCATAGAAGCACCACCATCATTTGATAGCTCTATTATATTCCAATTAAATAATTCAACTTCGAACACCAAGGTGGCGTTGGGTGGAATTGTGGGAGGAGAACCCGATTCCCCATAGGCATAGTCAGCACGGCAAGTTAGCTGACAAATCTCTCCTTTCTTCATTGTAGCCACACCGAGATCCCATGCTTTGATTACTCTTCCTGTAAAAGCAGATATTAGCCGTTCATTAGCTTTTTTGAGATCAAATCTTTTACATGCTCTATACATTACTATACTACTACGATAAAAATGATAAACCTAGACTTAAGGCTATATGAGTCAAAGTAAGTATATGCATAATAGACGTAGGGTACTCGAGTAGGTTTGAATTAAGTACGTACATGGTAAATTATATTCTGCAAACGATTGCATTAGCAACCGGTGATAATTTCAAAAAGGAGTATAGAAAAACTATGATTATTGATTTAGTGCAAGACCGAAAATGATAGCAATCCATTGACTTTCATGGCAGCATTTATAAGCTATATTGTATTGTTGTTTTGCATCTACGGCGGTAGAGTATTCTAAGTTTTGCTTCTAAAGCATTGTCGTATGTATTTACAGACTACATCAAGGGTCTATAAGGCATAGAACTGCAGCTACAAAGGAAGTCCTAAACATTGTAATCTATTAGTGTAAGGAGGTCATCAATCGATTGAACGAGCTCTACCTGTGCGATATGTGTATTGCCCTAGGATTGTTTCAAATTTTGAGATTGACTTGTAAAGCTTTCAAGGACTAGCGAATGGTAAAGTTTGGTTTGTTTTAGTTTGAATAAAAAAAGTACAAGTCAAGACAGTGCTAGGATTGGCCATAACACATACTGTCTATATTTGTACGGCTCCATTGCTGTAGCTGCTATGCTTCACCTCGGATCTCGGTATAGTATTGATGCACTGCACATACACTGTTTGGATCGCCGTGCAAAGATTTGCAACTCATTACTGCATCCATTACAACAATAATCCGTGGTAGTTACTTTGAACTCTTTTACGTTATTGAACGCCAAGATCAAGTCCGATATTGCATCATTAATACATAATTAAGACTACGACTAGATACGCGTAAAGTTAAGGCGATAAGAGGACATTGATCGCTTTCTTTATGAGATAAGCGACTTCATTGGCTGGTCGATGGCTTATGATATTGACTATTTTGTATTTACAGTATGTTGGCTTAATCCTACTTCAGTAAAATATGTATTACGGCTATTATAAAGGAAAATGGAATACTGTTGTACCTTTTCCAAGTTCGAATTTGAAAAAGCTATCCCGATCACGGCTTGAGTCAAATTTAGTTCCATCAAGCAGAGTACCAACATAGTGAACAACCACTTCATCTCCACTTTGTGGCGTACTATCTCCATTACCCTGCCTTTTAATCAACTTCAACACTCCACCATCTTTATCGGGAGTAATATCTTCACCTTCTCCTGGTGCATTTGCATTCACTTGTGGTTGTTCATCAGCCATGTTGAGGATATTGTCACGATAAGATTTCGCCTGCTATTAAAATGATGCAGATCGAAACTGATTGCAATCTTCAATCCTGGAGATTTTTCTAAGGTAGGTATTGGAAAAGCAGCAAGCACAGCTAGAGCGTTGAGCTAACCACTGAGCTTTTGTAACATACTAACACGTGTTACCGTTGGTACTGACAGAGTTCCCTCTTGCCACTGAGCTCAGCTTGGAAGCTTCCAGAATTCCAGCAACGTGCACTGTAGAGTAACAGTGTACAGTACTGTAAGTATCGTCCCGTGGTCAGTCCGACTGTATATTAATTAGCTGGTTAATTTATAGAGGATTCGACGTCGTCATGGCGGCCAATAACTCAAATTATTCTGTACTACGTTTGACAGTTATTTACAGTTCAGTTATCGCTCGATGTTCCTTCAAAATACGAGTAGAGGAATTTTCATCATTTGTCAATCAATCATAAATAAATATACCGGTAATATTAAAACAAAAATAACAAAAGAGAAATATTCAGAAGGCGCATACATTAATCGGATTATAGTCTACATGCTGTAAATAGCCTTGACAGTTGTGAATGATTGATAGCTGTGATCGCAGTCAAGGAAGGCCTGCAACATTGTATTCAAGTTATTCGCTGAAAATACTCGGCTTGCATACGCATAGACAACGAATGAGCCACAAACAACAAATTGATGATCTGCGTATACTGTAGTATAGAATATCAATGGATAATTAATCATTCATTACTCTTACTAATATTATTATTATTATTAATAGTCTTGGATATATTGTACGATGCATCAGTATACGTACTGCACTGTACTTTACTAATAACACTGTACTACTAATATAACTTTTACTTTTACTGAACTAAGTTATTCGGTTTGCATAGACAACTAGAGACCAATGAATTCCTAATTGGTTATACCCTATCAACGGATATAGTCAGTACAGTATACGAGTATCTCATACTGTACTTTATAGAAAACTATGGGCATTTTTTATGCTCTCGGTCGGTTTTCTTTTGAATGAAATCACACAAAATTGCAGTTCAACATTCTCCAGAGAACAACTACAAAGTAATAACAAAATCACAAATGGATTGAATACTGTAGAGTATCATGGATATACTGTACACTGAGTGTACAGTAGGCGTCCATTAGAAACTGCAGGCATCTCTCATGCTGCAGGCTCGGTTTCTTTGCAATGAAAGCGCACCATTGAGTGCAAATAGTCTAATTACTGGAGAACTAGGGCTGCCGAACAATGAATGATATTATTCATTGTGCTTAAGTTATCCACCCCAATTTTGTTTTCTAACTTATCTATTTTGATAGACTGCTGCTGTACTGGGTAAGTCCATATGGACTGTGTTGTCTGTCTCGTGTCTACCCTATCATTTACTGTCATGGTGTAACTTACTACCGTACACTAGATAGTAACTATCTATCCAGGAAAGCAGGAAAGAGTGCCAAAGGTTTTACCTTTCATCTCTATGGTTACTAGAGACTATAGTCCAGGCTTGTCATGGTGATGGTGACATCATTAGGCTACCCGATTGATTTTCTACCATCTACTGTACGCTTGCAAAGGTAGCATGCAGTACAAAAACAAGGAGAAAATTGGCCTTTCTCGTCTCGCGATGATCAGCTCAATGACTGGAAAAAACTTGAGCCATTTGTGCCCATGTCCGCGTCTCCTCTTGTCCCATCCCTCTCCCTCTCCATTTCTAGTACCCAGTACAATTTGGCGTGACTTTTTCTCAGCCAATGAACTATCACTATGGGTAGGCTTGGCACCACCCACATGGCGGTTCGTGGAAAGCACAACAACAGATCAGCATTAGACATTTAGACTAGAGTTTGACCTTCGTCGAGTTCAAGCATGGTTCAAGCATGATGACAGAGGTTATACACTATACAAGCGGCTAAATTGGAGGTAGTACGTAAGTAGACACGCAGTCGTTCATCCACTATCAAATCACGTAGCTAAAGGTTTGATCTCGGATCCATTTTGCAGTTGTAAATCATTTGGCGTTTAGGTGTTATTGCATCACCAGATTATATCGCAAGTATTTAACTGATCCAGACAGTCCATTTCATTTTATTGCATCAAGATGGCCATGGAGTTTCTCCCAACATTTGCCAAAAATTGGTACTATTCGTACTGCGAATACCTGCAACAAAGCGGTAAGACGAGATGGCAGTTGTGATAGCAAGCATGTCATGGTAATGTGTGCTAAAATGATCCAGTCTAGGATCGTAGTAGGCGGTAGTACCATAATATTGAAAGGCTTTTCCTCCTTTAATATCACTGTATCGTCGTACATAGGCAATGAATTGATTCCACAGCATGCTTGATCGGCTTATCGTTCAACGAAAGTATTGTACTTCCCAAAGCAACTATAGGATAGCAGGCCGGCTACTGATGACACATTAATCGTGCTGTAGTACTGTACACTACTTGCGCTAGATCTAGCCTAGCCTGGCATAAATTACTTGTATATCAAGAGCGAAATGATGGAATGACTGTCCTACCAAGCTTTACTTTTAATTGAATCAATACTGACTCTGTCTATACGAATTCTATACAATCAATCAATTTTATTACATCGATAAACCAAAGGATTCTTGATTTAAAAAAGATTCGCGATACAATACAACCGGCTATGCCACTATGGATAATATTATTGAAAAAAGCATGTCAGTCAAACTAGTAGTATTTGCTTCCATTTCTCACATGATATGTATTAGTTGCGTCTCAATGTCATTCACACGGTACCGGTGATGCATTTGTACAGTTGTAGCGATAATTGCCTATTTTGGGGATAGTTCGTTGAGAGCTTATAGATGGATTGCAATCATTTACTCATCGATAATGCATACGACAAATCGTTGGGATTTCCAATCCACACCGACCATACCTGTTGATGAACGTTTGAACGAGCGAGAAACGTTTTGAGGGTAGTTCAACTTCAGGGTTACTACAGGATAGCGGAATCGAAGCTGCACTACATGATCCTGTTGTAGTTGCTTCAGAATTACATGTGATATGGAGATGAACTGTGTTAATCCATCGTCGATGAGACGCTAATTCCTACTACTTTACTTATTGAGTATCAACTCCTATTACCGTATATCAACACCAGTACGTAACCATAACAGTAGTAGTAAAACTGTGTACAATTTTCCTTCCTGAAGAGTTAAGAGTTGATTGAAACTGTACTGGACCCATGAATGAATTGATTGATGATATAATATTGGCAAGGAAAAGTCATGAGGTTATCGTACTGCACAGTTATTCGATAGATAAACAATGAAATTGTACTTTGATCTTGAAATTGCTTTCATAATGAATACGGGTGTGCCTTTGCTGGTCTTTAAATCACTATACAGAACACGTGCAAAACAATCATTTCGTATAATACGATATAACCAACCATAGGCACTGTTTGATTTATAGCCTCAATAGAAATCGATCGATTCTAATGAATTAATATGGTAACGAGTCGAAAATCCCTAATAACAAGAATACAAGATATTCTTATTAATTTATTTTTCCATCAATACTCAGTATATTACAGTTTACGGAAGTACGTATGATTGTGTTCCTTCAGTAGTTTATATAATGTATTATATTATTATTTTTATTATTAACACTAGCGTACAGTAGATAGCATGTAACGGCGGCTTTTCCTACTAGATAATTAATAAGAATTTGACTGTTCATTCGTTATACTATAATAGTATTAATTTACATTTCATAGTCTAGTAATCCGCTGCATAGTGAGGGCAAATAAAGGCCAGATTATCCCTGATCAACAGACTATAGTCATGTAACGGCGGCTTTTCGTACTAGATAATTAATAAGAATTTGACTGTTCATTCGTTATACTATAATAGTATTAATTTACATTTCATAGTCTAGTAATCCGCTGCATATTGAGGGCAAATAAAGGTCAGATTATCCCTGATCAACAGACTATAGTCATGCACAATTGCCTATACACTACTCATATGTTACGTTTCGACATTTTATGACTGAAATCTCCACGAGAACTGTACTGTTAAGTACTGTACGGTATAAACAGCGGTGGTGCTGTGGACTGTACTTATTTTTTTACACTTTCTTTATTATTACCGCCAAGTACTCCAATACTTAGCTATCAAAATATCTATATTTAGTCTACAGTTGAGATCATGAAGATGTCAGTGCGGGTAAAAAAACAGTATGGGTACAGACAGCATTGACTATTCTACTGAGGAACCTTTTAAAATTAATGCTTGCAACGTATGCATTGGCAAGCGCAATGACAGCAATTGAGATTTTTAGTTGAATCTAGGCGTGATAGTCAATCAACACGGACTGAACACTTTGAGCACAGTTACCTTTATGTACATACAGTACGAGTATAGTACAACACGCTAGCATTCGACTAATAAAGGACTTTAAAAAATGAATGCCAATTCAAATCGTATTCGTTATCCGTATACAAAGTTGCGATCAATAATGTTATACACATTTAATGCTCAATGAGCATTGTTTATATCATAACTCCTTTAAAGTTGAGTTAAATACGCGCAGATGTCCGAGCTGCTCATTAAGGAGCAATCACTGTAATCGTTATGGATGTATCCCAGGCGAATTTTATACCCAATTTTTACAGTGCAATTTCTTGTAATAGACATTCTATAGAAAAGATCTCTATTCCATACTGTTGTACCCTATATAATGGAGCATAAGGTGGTGTGCAATATCAATAGGATCCGCTGTAGCTCTAGAATTATAGTAATTTATGACAATATACAAATTCCAAAAGCAAGTGCTGATGGTTTGGATGTTTTATTTGTCTACAATATATTGTAATCTGCGATGATGTCTACCGTATAGGAGTATTAAGCGAAAATACTTGCTGGACCCTAACCACTGTAATAATGATATTAAAGCATACCGTTATAGAACTGTATACCATGCACATCACGTGGATGTCAGATTCATTAAAGTAAATTAATATATAGGTATAAATGACTAAACGCCGTACTATCAAAATAATGAATAACTAGGTTGTAACCATGACCTCATTATTAATGATTTTACAAATGGCCGTGATGCGCATTCTTTACCATGAAATATACCGTTGCGCGTCCAATGGGCATATATTCATGTGCATGTAATACTGTAGTACTCACAGCTAATTATTGTATAATTCACTCTTATAAGTACCCCGGCCTATTCGGCAAAGCTAGGAGGTCATGTAAATACGTACATACGGATAAAATGTTACATTCCTTGCTATGTACTGTACATCATACATTAATCCAGTATAGTATAATATTAAAACAAGTAATATTGCTTACTGGCACCAATTAACCCCTGACTATAGTACATAACCGATACTATCGATAAAACTACTTTTATAAGCAGCTGCCATTAATTCATTTCTTACCTTTATAATTAATAGTTTAGTTTAAATACATGTATTTGGAAATTTTTGGAGTGTTTCTACTTCAACGGTAGATTTATTATCAGTAAAGAGCTTAGAATTATTAAATGTATATTAAAGCGCTTCAACCTCTTTGCTTTATAACTATTAATTTGATGGTACACGTATATTGAATAATTGCGACTTTATTTTCTAGATCCTAGGGTTAAGAACTGGCCTTTGATGGAATCGCTTACTCCCACTTTGATTATAAGTTGCTTGTATTTATTGGTCGTCTATGTTGGTCCGAAGATAATGAGATCCAGAGAGGCCCTGAATCTGAATAGAATTATGATTATATACAATTTTTGCATTGTATTACTATCTTTCCATATGTTTAGAAAGGTATCTTTATTACTGCAGTATACTGCTTGCAATTCAGTGAAAAAAATTTATGTATATCAATGATTCCTAATTTCCATTTGTCAAGCGTACCTACCTTTTTCATGCTATTTTCCTATTTTTGAGAGAAGCTATGATATTTTGAGACGTTATTCGTAATAAATTTTAAATTCTATCATTAAACTCTTACTATAGGTGCTGATGTGTGCGATATTGGCCAACTACTCCTGGACAAAATGCCAAAGTGTGGTATTTTCCAAAGATCCAAATGAATTTAAGGTAATATTCTTCTTAAAAATATTAATTCCGGGTTGTTGGCATTGTTTCTACCTGTACTAACCTTACTTTCATATTTTACCAAGATGGCAGAAATACTTTGGTTGTATTATTTTTCGAAAATAATTGAACTGTTAGATACGGTAAAGGCTTTTTAAGATTCATCAAAATTGCACATTTTATTATAACTATTGTAATGCACTTGAATACGTATTAACCGTTACGTATTATGCCTATAGTAGGTCATTTTATTATTTTTTGAAATTTCATTTCATTTAATAATTACCAGCGCTATAATTCCTCAACAGATATTCTTCATATTAAGAAAAAAGGAAAGCCAAATCACCTTTCTACACGTTTATCATCATGCTAGCATGATGATTTTGTGGTGGCTAAATGTTAAATGGGGTGCTGGTAAGTATAATTTTATCGTACAGAGTAGCTCATTCGGTTATTATTTAGTTAACATCACTTTTTATTATCGATTACAGGGGGACAAGGTAAAACTGAGCTCGTCCATGAAATTTGTCTGTATGAATACTTTCGGTCATGCTTATAAACTAACCTTACTTTTCAAACGGTTTCAGCTTTTTTTGGCCCATTGTGCAATTCTTTAATCCATGTATTTATGTATCTATATTACGGACTATCTGCACTTGGTCCAAAATATAGAAAGTATACATGGTGGAAGAAATACATGACTACTATGCAATTGGTAAGCTATAAGGATTATTTATAGAGATGAAATTGTAAATTATCAAGATATGCTGTTATTTTAGAACTCATCGCTAATATTCGTACTGTACTCCTATTTACATAATTCGTAAGTTGCAACCAACGATAATTAGAGCTAAATTAGAGTTCAATGACTAAATAGTGGTATGGTACCCTTACTGAGATATTATGGAAATTAAGTTAATTGTGGAGGAGTGATCTTAATTCCTAGATATAGCAGATTGTGACGGACTAATGACGCGTCATTGATGCTCATTGTACAAGTATATTATCGTTCAGCATCTTATAGAACGTTTTAAGTTCTTAAAAATCGCTTTGCTTCTAGTTATTCCGACGCAACATAAATGCATAAAGCAATATTTCAGTACCATAACATTCCTGTTGCTCATCTAGATTATTGCATAGAATGCTATATTTCTTTTCCTAACTGCTATAGTTTAATTACCTAAAGTGTTGCATTGGGCTTCTATCGAAAGCTAGCAATTTAACGTGCTAATTTTACAACAATAGAAGCCTGTCAGTAATTGATTAGGAGTATGACCAATAGTTTTTTAGAAGGATATCTTATGACTATCTTATTATTACCTATATAGTTCACTATTTGATCATTATGATATTATACATATTAAATATTAGAATAGGAGTTTTCTCTCTGTTTCATGCAAACATTATTTAAAATTTGCTATATTTATTGATTTCGCAGACCCAGTTCGTCATTGTGATCATCCATACAATACTTGGATTAGTATATGTTGGTGATTGTAGTTACCCAACGTGGATGAAGTGGCTATTATTTTTTTACATGAATTCCTTGCTTGTTCTCTTCATGAATTTTTATAGGAAAGCTTATCAGAAAAAGCCTAAGCAACAATAGTATAATGTAAAGCGATTTTTTCATTCTTAGCAATATTAAAATTCTCTGCATAAGTAGATATTGACAACGGTGATGAATTTACCCATAAATTCTATATCATGATTTGATTACTCTTGGGAGTGTTTGCACAAAATTATGAATTCTCTTTCATATTCGATGTAAATAGTTACATCGTATTCATTATGTAGTATTTTTCGTCTCATTTATGGCCTAAAGTTACATTTTGTGATAGTATCATCATATTGTATACCATTTAACCCCCAAGTCTCCTAGATGAAAGTAATTGGAATGATAATAATGTTAATATAATAATAATAAATAATAACGCAGTTAACCATATTGAGCTATACGTGTACTACCCATCCAGATACACATTTTTGCCAATCTTTAAGATATTTTTATCTTAATAAATATCATCACAAACTTAGATCAATATTCGAGTGTGGTCTTTAGGTGCATTGGCGCACTCCAATGCTGTATACAATATAGCCATAACGCAATACAACCATGCGAGATCGATTGGTAATAATTATTGAAAATTTAATATTTAAAATATAAGGAAAGTAATTGCGGTAAGGCTCGTAGAATAACTGCCATAAAAATTCATACATATGTCACTACGCCAGCAATCTTAAGAGATTTTATTCGTAATCATTTATAAGTAACATCCGTATTCAACGTGCTAAACGAAAATACTTTAACAAGCAAATTTAAGCGGACGTAGAGAGCGCACACAAGGTTGTGTACTCTCTAACCTTAGAATACTTTTTTTGGTAATTCTTGTAGTCGTGGTTATGTATCACTGTACATATCGCATACCTAGCTTAACAAGTTCATACATATAATTATTCATAATTAAAAAGGGTTAAAAAAGCTTTCATTTCCATGATCTATGTTACAAAACCATATGTTTCGGTTCAAAATTTGCAGGTATGAAGCAATGAATCATATTTTTACAAGGATAGCACAGTACGTCGTACTGCAATACTGTGCTGGTATCTAGTTGTAGTCGATATTTAGATTTAATTTACCTAAATTCAGGACATTATCAATTGTTATGAAAATGAAAATTATAATAGCATACAAGTATCGATAGCAATGTAGATTAAATAACGACTGCGTGGTAGTAATTAGTTAATGCAAGTATCATTACCCGCATTATATTATGAATTAGGTTTTTAAGATATCTTGGTCAGCTTATTTACAAATCGCCTATGTGCATAAAAATAACTTAATTGCCTGAGGCTTTCCTACTTAAGAAATATCCGATAATAACAGCCACAATAACCAATATCAAAGATATCATTACACCAAACGGCATTTGGGCAATAAAACCTACAGCATAAAAAAAGTTTGTATTAGATAAGTGATACGGACGATCGATACAGCCAAACAGGTAAATATATTTCAAAAGAGATTTTCGCCTGTAAATCGCAATCATTTAATTTTGTATTATAATTATTACTTTTACGGTGTTCAGACTCTTCGTTTTCTGACGTATTAGATACTGGATTGGCCTATAAAGATACTGATATCAGTGCAATGCTTTTTATATGATGTAGAATTGATCAAGTATGATGGTTATCATAGATGGTCCTATAGCACTGTACTGTACCGATTTCGTTAGTGGCCTAAGAATATCTATAACATCCCGATGACTTCCTTTGATTGCTAAATCTAATGGGTAGTAGCAGTGCTGTAAAGGAAATGGTTTATAATTAGAACTCGGCTATAGATTTAATGTCATAAAGGGATCTTTATGTAGGTTCCAACTATTGATTTGTAGTATAAGAAATTTTAAACGTACATCGTTAAAGCAATCAACTGTGGCTCCATATTTGATCAGTAGGCGCACGCACTCAGTATCTCCACAAGCAGCTGCATCATGTAATGGCGTATTGCCATCCTAAGTTTAAAGAATGGGGAATCATACAACTAAAGTTAATGTTTACAGTTGATAAAAAATTAAAATCAATAAAGTGTACAGAAACAGTATTATTCATTCCATTTGCGATAGAAACGATTATCATGCTATCTTTCAATAGCGTATGCCTACCCATGTATCCTTGATATTCACTTTGACGTTCTGCTTTAAAAGCCAAGATAAGTTAGCACTTTTACCGTAAGTTGCAGCCCAATGTAGAGGTGTACTAAAATCCTAAAGTATAATTTTATATTGCAAAAAGGTTACTCTTTTAAGAATACTATTCATGTTTGTAATTTTACTTTGCATTTTAGCATAATGTACTAACAAATAAAAAGTTAAGATATAAAATAGAATTGAGACTGCCATTTATTAAAATCGACTGTACTACAATGAGGAACTGCGTAATACGAACAACAGGAGCGTAACATATTCATAAGCATCAGGAAATCCTAATCTAAGATCATGCTGTATCCATAATTGTTCATACAACAAAGTTACTATACGCAACACTTCAATTAAATAACGTAGAAACATATGATCATTAAACGGCACACGTGTTGTAAATACATAGCTGCTTACCGCATCCAAGCATTGAAAGTCAGCTTTGTACTCCTTTAAGAGTTCTAATATTTCAACATTGCTATATTTAGCAGCGTAATGAGCAGGTGTCCACTTCCATGCCTAATAAGAAAATTTATATTGTCTACCATTAATTACTTAACTTTAAAGCATAAGTTGCGGCTATACTTTTTTAACAGGCATCAATAATTTTCACTTCGGCAGTAAAGAAAATAAGTCAGTTTGTATTCTGTATTTATAACAGATATGCCTAGCAGACCGTACAATTTTGTGGATAAGTATAGGTAAGAATGTATTCACTTGCTATAGATTTCTTCTTAAAGTTACTAGGACGTTAAAGTGAATATAGAGTATGTAGAATAGATGAAAACGTATAAATTTTGATTAGCTAATTAAGTAGTTCCTAAATATAAATATTAGACTACAATAACAAGTCATCAACGTCTTAACGTGATCAGCGCTAATGAACTGCTCAGCTATGTAATTATGCTACTATTCCTAGAATTGGATAAAATTTATTCTGAGGCAACCTTCTGTCGAAACTGTGCCAATACTAGTTATATTTAATTTATGCGTATGTGTTTACTTTTAATTTGATCTTGAATTATCAATTTACGCTATTCACCGTAGGAGAAAGTAGTTGTAGCGGAGAAATAACAATGAGCAGTGCTTCTGCTCATAGGTATGCGATTACATACGTTTTGATACTTTGGATCAGCTCCATATTTCAGTAATAATTTCACAGCCGATACACTATTGGCTTCACATGCCAAAAGCAAGGCAGTATCACCTGGATGCTTATAACGTCAAAGAATAGTTTACATCAAAAAAGTGTAAATACATATATATATACATCGTTTAATGTTCCATTTTTTACAGTTTATTAATATCTTTTCATCTGTTTAATAAAGAGATGTAAACGATTCATCTTCTAGATATTTTAGGTATATCTTTGAAGGATTATTACAAAGCAACGAGTCAAAAACAGTCGCAGATGAAATATTTTACCTCACTATGTACGTCGATCTGGTTTTGTTTTTGTAGATCGGCTAATATCTTTTCATTTGCATTCCTTGCCATTTTATATACAAATACGGCTGTTGTCTAATGGAATTAATAAAATAATATAGTGAAGTTGATTTATAGTAGCAACATTATGTTATATAAAAATGACCAATACGACCGAAAGAAACGTTTAATGCAACTTCCCTAGCAGGTCTATCGCGTCTGTATTGAATGTATTCCATTGCTATACAATGTACCCTAGCATGGACTACTCAAAAATGTTTTTTTGAGTAGTCCATGACTTTACTGTACAGTACATACAGATAATTTTCAATTACTGAAAATTCTACACAGCATTTTGTAACTCGATCTAGACGCTGCCTGCTGTGTCTGTATTATCGATCGGTCAATAGTGTACTGTAGGATACTACGGTACTGCAGATTAGTTGCTAAATGCTAGACGAGAAGGTTTAGTCATTCATTATCGATTAATGAATTATCGATTCGATATAAAATGAATCCGTTTTTACATTGCACAGTAGGATATGTAGTGGTGAGTCAAATCTTGTGAGTTGCAGAAAATGGAGGAAAATAGAATCCATAGTCTAGCATATGCATGGATTATACAACGATCTGATGTATATTTTACAAATAATAAATTGATGGATAATTGTTGATCATATTGTCACATGAAGCTAGACGATTTTATTTGTTACGCAAGCAATTTAAAATTTCCATCACAAGTCTTGTAATCTTGCATGAATGCAAATGGTCATGCAAAATGATGATTGTATAAGTTTGATCAGGCCTTTGTAGAGATAAGTCCATCTCATGGTCTACGCCATATTGAATTTTGCAAGGAAAAGACGGTGAGTCGATGTACTGTCCTAATGATGCATGTGTGGAAGAGCTTGCATTCAACATATTGTACAACTGGTATCTCATTGATTATCGACCTACCAAATGCTGGCCCATGGCTAAGATACTTCAAGTGCTAACCAGTGATGAATCCTATCGAATGGCACAATGTAAGATGATTAAGGGCAATTGCCATCCACTGCAAATTGAGTTTAAGTTATATAATTATATTTTCTGCGTCAGGATTTCTATCGGCATGGCAATCATTAATTATTCTGCAGGAGTATTTCTCTTCAAAGTTGCCAGACTGCAGAATATTGTATTTTGTATGGCAGTAGTGGACAAGGCAAGTGTCGCTCGAGTACATGATTGCACTATAGGCTACACTATTGCTGTACGAGTCATGTACTGTACAGTGTACTGTCCATGCACTTGTGCGCATCTTTCATAGTGGTACAGTACATTCAGTACAGTAGTGCCACTACAGTACAATGAGCTACCGTACTGTGTACTGTGCACTGTGTACAGTGAAGTTGTACTACTGTCATGAACAATGTGGTGATTCATTGGTACAGTACTGTACTGTATGTAGCAAGTGGTAACTTACCTTACTTAACTATCACTTAAAAGTGTAGCGACAGACTTGGGAAAATGACCAAATTCAAGGTTGCATTATTCAAGCATAATAAATAATAATTATGATACAGTAATTGATGAGAGAAAGCGAAGAATGAAATTTTGCTTCAGGCAATAGCAACTCTATTTGTTTTAAGCTACAAAAGAAATATCACCTCTATCACTGTATGATTTTAGTGTTAGCCCTGCTTTCGTATTAATGACCATTACTAGCGGTTTATCCTAGCGTTACTCACAGTTAACACTGTGACAGTGTTGTGACTACGGATCACTCTGGAGTAAAGTAGAATGAAAGATTTCTTTCTTTCTCTCTTGATTCAACTGGGTTGGTTTCCCAATCTTGGCGTCTACGTATATTATTATAAGCGCAGGTATAGTGGTTGTCTTTGAATATGGATCATTTCAGGGCAGATTCATTATGAATGAAAGGGTTCCAATCCTACCTTTTACTGCCTTTTATAGCAACTACTGTACAGTACGTACTATCGATCTCTCACGACTGTACACTGTACACTGTACTGTATCGGTCTACAGTACTGTAAATTGAGGCTCTACAGTACAGTACAGTACAGTACTGTAGCTCTCGATCTCTCACGACTGTACACTGTACACTGTACAATACAGTACTGTATCGGTCGAAATTGAGGCTCTACAGTACAGTACTGTACTGTATGTACAGTACACTAGCTCTTCACTAGAGTCCACCGTACTGTACTGTAGTCCAGTCGTGAATGTTGACTGTCAGTGATCAATATGACGTCAAGACATCACTGCGTGTCCTGATCACGAGTGACCCAACGGTCACTCTCCTCGAGTCATTTCAATTTTCCTGGGTCAACTGACGCAGGTGAAGCTCAAGATAGCCTACGCTATGTCTGACTGTACTGTACACTGTACACTGTACACATAGTCATACTGTAGTAGCAGTCAGTAGTACTGTACTGTAGCTACAGTCTGTCGCTACTACTGACGACAGTATGTACTGTACACTGTAGACTCCGTCTCACTGGATGTGCAGCCCTGTAAGAGTACAGTACTGTACTGTACATACAAACGTCAAAGCGTTGGCCAAATTTTCTGTAGATGGAAGAATTGTAAAGCTGAAATATTGGTCTAAGAAAATAATCCCAACAGCTGATTATTCCTGCATTAAAAGTCCTTCATATCATCAGCTAAGGCAATGGCCTGCTTTGCTGAGTATTTTGCTATCGTTGGCGTCGACGACATCGACTTAAAATGTAATATTATGAACTAAATTCAATCACTTCTAATCTAGCGTCAGTGACAACTGTTGTGATATTACCTTCTATGAACTGTCAAAGCAACTTTTATACTAGTTTGTACTAAAATTGAGACTTATACCCCCCCCCCCCTCACATAAGACACCCAATTTGTCTGAATCCGAGTGCTGCAGAAAAAAGATCTACAGCTTTATGCTGCTTATTTCGATACAGCTCTTACTCATTTTATTTTTACCATTTCTATCCTAGCTAGGCAAGTAGAGGTAGCTTTTCTGTTCTATCATTTCTAAAAAAATTTCATCATGGATCATCCAATGAATTTCGTCCTCTTCTTTGCTTCACTCTTAACGAAAATAGACGATCGACTGTATGAAAAGTAGCCTAGGCTTTTCTGGCAGTTCTATTCAAGGAATACTATTCTCACTAGTGATAGGATTAACCATCATCAAAGTTTTGTTGATAAAGTAATTGTTGCATACCATCATTGACCCGATTCAAAATGCCTAGATATATTACGTATTCGTAGATACCCGTGCGATAACTACAGCTGTATGCCTTGATTGTAATATGTATTATAATTCATTAAATGTATTTCCTCTTCTTGGCATCGATCGAATCTTCCGACTAGGTATTATACTTTACTTACAAGAATAGTTAGGTACAAACGCTCAGTTGTTCATACTAACTGTACTAGTCATCTTTCACAATCTCTTATTCAAAAAAAAGTATACAAGACGTAATGGAGTAAACTTGTAGTTTAACAGTGGCTAGGTTTATTAAACATCATCGTTATCTTGAGTTAAAAGACCGCAATATTGACTATATAAATTAGTCGTCATGATATTTTGCCAAACTAATGAATGATACGACGTTATCTTCCTTACTGCCTTTTTGAATTAACTCGGTGATAAATTATTTTTTCCATCTTACAACATAAACGTTTGATTACAATGCTCGCAAACCATATTGGTAATGATCACATCTATTGACATAAAAAAATTTTTTGAATTGACTGCTAGACAAAAGGTGATACTGTACTGTACGTAATTAGATTTCAGATATCAGCTTGGAAAATTATACATCTAAATTCAACAACTATAACTTAGAAGCACCTCTACGTTGTCATAATATCAGAAATTACCAATTTTCTCTAGCTGCTCGGAACGTATGTCTTACCACTTGTAGTAAGGTATGCTAGATATTAATGTGTCAACAGAGAGGTTACGCCATCACAGTAGTACAAATTACAAATTATATTAATCCTATCTGTAATTGATACCTCGACAAGAACAAATCATGCGTCCACCAAGGTATTACACTATTTTTAGCTAATCTGACTAATAGCGTATACAAATTTTCTACCATCTTACTCTCAATTGTATGCCTGATCATACTGTATTATATGGGCTAGGATTACTTTGAAATATGCACTTATGCAAATGCATTAAAATAATATAGATTCACATCGAAGAAGAATTGTATTCTTGTTACAATCATCACCTTTAGTTCTTGTTATTATTCCTGATCCATTGACTTATAATCAAATATTCTTAGTATTCTAGATAATATGTCTGCTGCACTTACAATATTTCCTATTGTACAGTAGTTACATGTTCACAATCATATTATCATTTAAAGTAAAGTCAAAAATAACTTGCAATCATCATAATGATACTAGAACAGTCTATTCTTAACCTGCTCGAGTATTTACTCGCTATTTATCAAATATGGCTATAATTATGTTGTTAACGTTGCATCGATGTCTTCTATCTACGTATAATTGTGATTGCGATAGATTAAGTCACTAAGGTATAGATGCCATTGTTAGGTAGAGTCTTATCGTGAAAGCGGAATGATTTACTAATTTTAATGCAAATAGGTAATTACAATTATAAATACTTGTTATCTTGCTTTCTTTAGCTGCACTTGAGGGTAAAACACAACTTATTGGTAAGGTCTTGCAGCGATTTCCTGAACAAGATAGAAGAGATGCTGCTTTTCCATCAGGAATTGAAATGGTATGAATTTTACCATTGTTTAAGATATTAAAATGCAAATCGCTGCGGTAAAATGAATATGCATATTATAGACTGCAGCATAAATTTTCTTACGTTGAAAATTTGCGGGCATAATACCAGCTATATTTAATTTCTAAATTGTATCTACCTGCGCAATATTTCACTGTAGACAAAACAAATTGACGTTATAAGATATCAGCGTGTACATGCATGTAACTATATCTCAATTATTAATGCTAAGACATGTTATACAGTACATTAACTACCTTTAACATTGAAATACCAACGGCAAAATTTATCTTGATATAGTTGCCATATTATTAATCGAATAGTGGCTGCCAGTGACTCATTTCATTAACTTATACGTTATTCTAATTGATTATTGGTAATTTCTTCTTTCATACCCTTGTCAATTAGTTGTACACAGATCTGTCTATTCTCCACTGAAACACTTATATATAACCTCGCGAATAATCTACTTACTGACTCACATGATATTACAGTTTTGCCTTCCGACCGGCTGGAAGTGTATTAATGATGCCGTCCCACCGGACCCAACATTCTATGTTGTTACCTTAACCAATATGGAAGGCGATCGATTTTATTGTGCTAGCCTCGCTTTCTATGAATTACGCGACACAATCACAACAAAAACTCATGAACATCATCCTAGTATTAGCGAAGGAGTTGAACGACAATCAGTTAGTTCTCAGCCATCATCCACTGACTTATCAAAACCATCATCGTCAGAAATGGACATCAGAGGCAGTATAATTCTGGATACAGCCTCGTTATCAGAAACGATTGGTAATATCTATTTACCAAAAGCAATTTGTATTGTGTCTCGATTGGCACTATTTGAATCGTTTAGGGTAAGTTCACTAAATGTTCGACTGAATACATTCCACAACATTGAATTGCATTGCAATGATATCATTTAAACTTAAAAAATCGAAAAGACCATGTCCTAGGCCGCATATCACTGACTATCCTATTGACCATTTAGCATTGCCTTTGCACCCTGTATTATGCTGTATACAATGGTCAAACCTATCTATTGGAAGAGCTGGTTCCGCGTATCCTTTCCGATATGTATCTGCCTCCGGCTGGCTATGATAAGGTTGCTTTTAAACTAGATGAAGGCAATGTTATAACCTTGCAGGCAGCCCGTGAAGAGTCTCTTCCAATAACTGGGTCGGCAATTTCATCATTTTTCAAGCATTTTGGTTAGTAGACCTACAATTAAGACATTAATATTATGCCTTCAATTAAATCGTGTAAAATCCTAATGATTTATTTACTTAATTCTTGCATTCTGATAGGTATTCAGAATTCTTTAACACTTTTTTGCGCGATCTTAACCGAGTCGCGCATTCTTTTTACGTCGAGTAGTTTTTCTACCCTATCCTTAATTTGTCACGGATTACTCGCTTTAATATTCCCTGTTCAATTTAGGTGAGAAATTAATTTTTAATATTACTTATAAGTTACTCAGTTGTTCAATTATTTTTATCTCTAAATCTTTTAATAAATCCGCTATATATAGCCACGTTTTTATTCCAATCCTTCCTACCAACTTACTGGATATTCTGGATTCTCCGACGCCATTTGTGATTGGTGTAAGTTCTTCATGTCGAGAAAAACTAGATCGCATGAATGAATCAAGTGAAGTACTTGTAAGTAGCTGTTGCTTTATGATATGTATTCATACACTAAAAATATATCTAATTAAATTATCAGCAAAGCTTTTCTTACCCTAACATAAAACATTATCCATATACTTAGGAAGAAATTGTTTTAGCAAATATTGATGGTGGTAACGTTATAGTACCGGAAAGAATCCAGTTACCACCTTTACCGAGAATATTCCATGATAAAGTTTCTAGAGCTCTAAATGCTGTAAGAAATTACTTCAAATCTACGAAAAAGCATCACTATGATCTCGTGTAATATCTTTGTTATCATCCTGGAAAAAATATTTTAGGTTGTTAATACACACTTAGTAACAGCGGATTTAGCATTTCAACCAGTCGATGTTAAACCGTCACCGCCCACTGTTCAAGTAAGAATGCATTTTTGAATCGTTAAATGAGGCAGAAATTATTAAAAACTTCTCTATCTATACCTTTCTCCCATTGCAATCAAATGCTAAATTTTCTTGCAATAATGGTTTGCATATTCATCTATGTGTAGGACAAAGAACTTCGAGCCATATTTTTAAGATTATTTGCTGAAATTTTCTCTGGTTACAGAACTTGCTTAACTCTTACTCGAATTTTATCTAAGCCTATAATTTTCTTTGATCAGGTAGGAAATGATCTAATTTAATTGCAGTTAGCGAACAAACAATACCTTCTATACCTTCCCAGTTTAAATAATGATCTATATCTACCGAATTTGTAGGAAAAATTCTTACAGCAGCGTGGACTTAAAGGAGAACCATTCATGGAAAAGGTACATGAAATATTAATTTTAAGCAAGAAATACAACATATTAAAAAGTACATTGAATTCACTTCTTTATGCTGTGGCAATAGTTTCTAGATTCAATGGCCTTCCATAACTTCGTTAGCTCAAATGGTATCCCATACAGAGAATGCAACTTATTTGATGAGGTACATCAAATAAATGATAAAAAATAAAATTAGGTTCATTATATTATAACATTAATCTTTAATTTTTAATAAATATCAGCTTTTAGCAAATATTGACACTATAATCGAAAATGAAGGAGATGATCACGTCAAATTTATGGAAAATGTTCACAATCTCGCTGCTAAATTACAAGATAATGTAATAATAAAGTCTCTTTCCATAAATATTTATGATATTACAAATTTGTTTACACTGCTTATTTTATAACACGATAATAAATTTAAGGAACCGGTTATATCACATACTCCTAAATTTACTGACCAAAGCTTACAACAATGTAATGGTGGCATTGAAAATAATAATCTCGGCAACTTTAATGGGACAATGCAGACTTTCCCTCTTTTGACAAGTGAAACAGTTGAATCAGCAATAGCTATCTCAAAGGTAGTTTACCTTAATGATGCATTTTTGAAGCTTTGGTGATTTTATACAGTTATATTGATTAATTGATCATTACAACCATATAATAACTTCAAAATTTAAATGTACGTAATATGATTTACTATTAAGACCGTGATACCTCAGCGACCGAATAAAGCTACAATTGTTCCTGGGAGTATGGGTGTTCATACTGGTCGCAAGGGAATGAAATTAACTGGGGCGCTAATGCTCAAGAGATTAGAAGTTTTACGAAAATGTGTTTCAAATATATTCAATAATAGAATAATTGAAGCAAAAAAGGTTACACACGACATGAATCAATAAATTATAATGCAATTCCTTTTGTGCTCCTCTTTAAATTTCAAGATAATACATTATTTAAATTTTTCTAAATCGCGAAAATTTTCATTTTTTTTAGATGTTCTCGGCTGTTCTTAGCCTCTTAACATCGGTCCAATATAGGATAGCTCTTGTAGAAGAATTCGAATCATATTGCTTGCATAGTCGTGTTGTCTTAACTTTTGATCAGTTTGATATGGTTGTCCGTCTAATTAATCAGGCTCTTCAGGTAATGTGGCAAAAGTTTAAAAATTAATAGAAACATTTTAGTTAGTATAATTAAATTGCAATTTACTCCAACTTTTTACAGGAAGATGACGCGAATGATAGGAATGGAGTCGCTGCTATGATTTTACCATTTTCAGCATCATTCTGTCGCGTAAGTAATGTTTATATATAGTTAAATTATCCCTATTGTATTATACGTGCATTTATATTTTATAAACCGTTGGCAGATTGATGATTTATCCCGTCAATAATCTGTATGTAAAATTTAAAGCTCCATGATATCATTTTTTTCATACAGAAATTATCTGACAACGTTCATCAATTCGCCTACACATGTGTTTGGGATCATCCTGTATGGGATAACCCCCGCTTTTGGGAACGTACCTTCTACTTAACATGTCAAAAACATGTAATGAATTTATATGAAAATTCTCTGATAAAAAAGGCGAATAAAAATGCCATTGAAGCTAAAAATGATAATAAAGTTGAAGACGTTACAGCTGTAGAAACGGTAGAGACAGCTATTAATACTGACACAGAGAATGGCAAACCAAAAGCCGAAACTACATTTGGTACTACATTAGTTCCTTCAACTAGTACTTCGTCGATAAATGGTGCTGATTCAAGAACTGATATTTCGTCTCCAAAATTAACGAACAGCAATACTAATCTCCTAAATGCTCCTAACACGCCTAGTGTTACCTCTTTAATATCATCAACTACTGGATCTAGTAATGATGAATATCATCCCGAAATTGAGGATCTAGATCCTAATGTGCCAGTAATAATAGGAGAAACAATGGCTGGAAAGATGCCAATGGATATTGCAGCAGAGCAGGTACTATACAGGAAATCATCATCTATATTTTTCATATTATTGTATTCTGTAAAGCAAACCGGAAAAAATTGTTTCAACGATACTACTTAAATCTCATGTGCTTGATGGTAGTACAGTACATTTTTTACAAACATCGACTATCGTAAATCTATCATCATTGTATTCATAACTTTATTCAATGCCTATCTTTTTCCTAACGTAAACTATAGTTAAAAAAATGGGAAGTTTATGACAATACGGAAAAAGAGAAATTAACTGGACAGGAGCAAAGTACCATATATACACAAGCCATTAACTATGTTTATCGTCTCATATTTTTACGCTTGACGATGGATTTGGTATCTGTGCCAACTACAAATAGTCGTTCCGCTCGTAATCTTAAAGCTGACGCTGCTCAAGCTAGTCTTTACAGCTTTACAGCTAATGAAGGTCAAGATGATGATGGACTAGTTGGAACTGCTAAACTACTGCTTAAAGATTTATCCCACTTCATCGATCGTGTTTGCGTCGAATCCGGACTCAGCAGCGACCATATCAGAACTGTACAAACCCTTATACCAAGTGAGCGAATAATTGAAGATCCTGTTTTTGCAAAATGGGAAAACAAACTTTTAAACGTAACTAACAATAGCAAACATTTCCTTGACTTAGGTACAATAAAAAATCACTTAGAAGAATTAAGGTTAGTAAAAGCAGAAACAGAAAAACTCCCACAAAGAAGGAAAGTGAAAATTGTTGAACCACCTCTCCTTCCGAATGAAAGCATTATCACACCAGCCAGCGAGGGAACTACCTATTTGCGGGCATATTTATTACCTGATGGACGTGAACCTGGTCTTGGGGGTTTACCTGGTACTTTTGGTCCAAATCTATTTCCAGCAGAGGGAGCAGTTTTCTTAACATCCTATCGAATAGTCTTTAAAGGATTTCCTTTAGATCCAACAGGTGTGTAAAAAGCTTTTATATTGTATATATATATAACAATTTCTTCTGAACTTCTACATTGACAACCTGTTACTAACAGAAACTGTTCTGATATGTTCGAAGACAGAGTAAGTAGATCATAAACTTATTTAATGTATATTCCCTTTCCATGACCAGTCTCGGAAATGCACGTCTGCCGTAGTTTCCCCATTGGTAGTCTCACAAAGGAAAAGAAGTTACCGGCAACTTTTCTAGAAGTAATTAATGCACATTTAACTGAGTGCCTACAGTTACGTTCATCTACTTTTGAGGTATGCAATAAGCGAAAATATTTTTGCTCATACGAGTAATTTCTATGATATTTAGTTCCTCTTTCATTACTTTATGAAAGACTTCTGCTAAAATTTATGGTATTGAGATAAAGATAATGTTACATAGTACTAGTATATATGGTATTAGTTCACTTTCCAATTTAAACTCTCTTCAGTTGATGAAATTGGCATTTGATGATGAAGTTGGCTCCGAAAGAGTTGAAGCTTTTAAGAAACAGTTACTTAAGTTACGAAGCCCCCATTCGGTGCTCAGTACTTTTGCTTATGAGGGTGCTCCAATTATTGAAGAGAAAGTCATTTATATGCCTTCGAATGAAGCAACTGCTCCTCATGTTAGCCAGAAGTAAGGAAAAATAATTGTTTTGAAACTATAGTATATAGCACATAAAAGCATGCTTTTAAATACTTTCATTGATTTGTTATATCTCTTCTCTAGACTCAAGGATAAAACATCGGCGTTTAAGGATATAACTACAAATCGAATGAGGCATGCTCTTCATCATGGTGTTAAATTTCTTGGACGTCGATCCGGTAATACTGGCTCAATAAATAATGATAGCGAAGGTTCTAGTATCGGAAAAAAGGTAGCAGTAGTTAGTACAGCCGCAATGGCAATGGTAGGTGGAGAAGAAAGAAGCTCATCCGCTCATTCAATGATTGAGGATGCAACAGATAACCTACCTGCTCATACTTATAAAAGGCCAATTGAAGAACTAGTTAAGTTGCCTTACGTTAGTGACTACGAAAGATTACACTTAGGTAGCCTAGTCAAATTTAATCTTAAATCTCCTGGGCACTGGAGAATGACTACGATCAATGAAGACTATAGCATTTGTAAAAGGTATGTAATATTTTAGAATTGAATCCGTTATTTGTTTGCTATTATTCTACTAACAAAATGCTTGTAAAATAAACAATTTATACATTTTAAATAGTTATCCTGCAGTTGTTGTGGTACCTCACGGATTTAAAGATGAATCAATTGCATTATTGGCTAAAAATCATAAGCAAAACCGGTTTCCTGTTGTGACCTGGATACATCCTCAAACTAAAGCTGTCCTTTTACGTAGTGGAACGATTAACAGGGCATCTCTTTCATCGCTGTTCAAGTTAACAACATCGGGTGGTTCTGAAGGTAACGCTGGTGTATCTAGTGGAACAACTGCTGATAATGAAGCTGAGGAAGAAAAATATCTTACCGCTATCATAACAGGCACACCGAGAATACCCAAATTAAAGAGTCAGTATTAAAAAATGTTTTACGGAAAGCTGTTAAAAAAATCATAACTATTTACTTTATATTATCTATATAGCTGGCAAATCACCAAATCCAGCCAAAAGACGTAATTCTTCATCTAGTCCTCGTAATTCTCGTAATGCCCGTATCGGAAGAACTGCAAGCCGAAAAGTAACACAAATTCAATCTCAAACAATCAAGTAATTATTTTCGAATCAGACAACATTACTCGTATATAACTATATTTAATTTGTATGTGATTTGTATTTCTTTACAATAGAAGACTTACGACACCAAATTCGAGTCCGCATAGAGATCCTGTTAGTGAGAATAATGATGGATATTTAAACAATACAATGTATGCTGATAGTCTTATCGACAAACGTCTAGCCGGTAAAGATTGGGAGGCAGCACATTTATACGTTTTAGGTGATAAATCCGCAATAAAGGTAAATAGTTCAACTGTATTGAAATATTAAAAGGTATGTGTGAAATTTTAAATCATTAAGCTCAATTTATAATTTCTTTACTAACTAGCAAGTTAAAAACGAACAAAATAGCAAATGCGAATTTATCCCCGTTGAGGTACTGAGTAATCAAGACTTTGAGTTTTCAAGATATAACACAATATGCCGTATAATTATGTTTTGATGCAATCAGTCACGTTAGCGATACTTTAATATCATGAATCAATTTAACTCTTTTAGTATCCTGAATCTCGGTCAGTCAGAAGCAGCTTCAAAAAACTACTTCGTTGTTGCTGTCCTAGCAACGCTGAGAATGGACAATCATTCTATAAAGCTGTAGAAGAGTCGGAATGGTTAAATCAAGTAAATGATTCCAAATACTTTATATTCCAACAATTATTGTAATCCTAACATCCCTTTATCTTTGTTAGGTGCAATGTTTAATGCAAGTATCAGGTGCAATAGTAGACCTGATAGATATCCAGGGATCATCAGTATTACTTGCCCTTGAAGATGGTTGGGACGCCACCAGCCAGGTGCAATCATAGCATTATAGAGTAAATTGCTTTATATCACTGAGTAATTTTTATTCATCGTTGAATTAGATAATATCGCTTAGCCAATTATGCATGGACCCCACGTATCGTACTTTGGACGGCTTTCGTACATTGATTGAAAAGGATTGGCTGGCATTTGGCCATCAGTTCAGCACTCGTAATTGTATGCTTGGGAGTACGCAATCAACTAACTTCACTCCGGTTTTTTTACAGTTCCTGGATGCAGTTCATCAGGTACTGTTAGTAACTAATGGCTTTATAAGCCGTTTTAATTATAGAATTGTTACATTTAAAATTTTTTGGTCTTTCCTGTCTTAACAGATTATGCTGCAATATCCACAATCATTTGAGTTTAACTTGTTCTTTCTGGAAACAATCGCTTACCATTGCTGTTCTTCACGTTTTGTGACGTTCATGTTCGACTGCGAAAGAGACAGACACTACCTAGAAAAATCTGTACTTGCAAACGAAAGTGAATCATTCGAGAAATGTTTGTCTCCTCTAAAGAATACCATATGGAATTATATAGATGACGTTCATCGCAATTCAACCCAGTTTTATAATTTTAACTATAGTGTTCATAAAATGACGGTAATGTTATAAATGGAATATCGTACTTTGAGAAGATTCTTTATTATTAAAATGTTCTTTGTATTGTAAATAGCAAATATTAAGGCCAGTCGCATCGCTAACAAATCTGAAGGTCTGGGATTACTACATTAAAAGAAATCTGTACATAGGCTCTCCATACGATATTGAACTTTTAATAGTAGCAAAGCAACTAGAAGATGATCAGGTATGCCAATGTGTAGTGCTCGTGTATGCGACCTCATTCTCATAATAAAATTCAATTAAAGATTTCGGATCATTTTAATCCTTAGATCGCTTCTGAAAGAAGTAATTTAAGTAAAAGATCAGCTGATAGTTGTAGGGTAATAAGTGGATGCTTTGGCAGTTTAACCCATCTTATGCGAAGCCGACGTGCGTTATTGTTCGATGATTATCTAAAATTACGTTCCGTAAGCAATACAAGTATAGACCCTTGGGGAAAAGTTTGGACGACTATACTTCATAGTATACCCAAAGAATCCGAGGTTTGCGAATCTATAGAATAATTCTACCTAAACAAATATAGTTTTAAAATTTAAGCGCTTTACATTATTATTACTATACTGTACGCTATAACTACTGTAGCGAAATAGCAATAGACTTAACTAATCTCATCAATTAATAGTATGTGAAGTACCGCGCAATTCAAGAAGCAAAAGCCTACTCATTTTTGTTGCATAAAAGAACATCCGGAGAAATTATTTTAAAGGTAACAGTTGCATTCGTATAGTATTCGCTTATCAGGACTGGGAGTTAAAAAAATTGCAATAATTTAGGGTAAAATGATTGGTTCAGCAGCAACTTCCTTTACACATCCACACAACTTTGAAGTACATAATTTTCTAGCTCCATTATACTGCGATTATTGTATGCAGATTCTTTGGGGTTTAGTTAAGCAAGGTACAGTATATGCCTTAAAATTTGTTTTCAATTTCTGTATTACTGATAAGCAGTTAACGATTTAAGCAAAATAATAACAATGCAAACATGATTAACTATTGGTGAATTATTTTAATGCAGCATTTTTAGATTATAATATTTATAATAAATCTCATAGGTATGAAATGTTCCGACTGTGGCTATAATTGCCATGAGAAATGTGCACCTTTGGTGCCTTGGCAGTGCAGTAAAATCAAGGGATTGAAGCTAGAAGGTCCATCTCCAATGGATAATACAATAGCTGATTCAAAAACAGATGGCAAATGGCTGGAAAATACGTTACATAAGAGAGGAACTGGTAACTTATTTAAAG